GCATGGTCCTCATTCTCCCGAGTCCCTCGTTCATGTTCCCCCTCCTGTCACCCGGAGGCGTGCGTCTGTCTGTCTGACTGTCTCGTCGTCTCAACCCCCCCCTCCCCCCCCCCCTATCTGCTGCGACTTTGACTGTGGCTGTCGCGTAGGCAGGGCTTCTGGTACCTCTCCTGGCAGCCGAAAAGAGCTTCGTACCCGCGCCTGGATCCCTCGTTAGCGCGCCATGCACCTCGGATAGTTGTCCGCCTAACTCACCTCAGCTCTAGATTCGACACCCGGTGTAGCTTTCGCTGGTTCCCGCAGCGCGGGGTACGTATCCTGAGCACGTCCGAAAGCCAAATCGCCCCCATCCCACATGATACTATGCGACAAGTAACGGGGTCGTTGTCTAGGATGGCCTGCCATATGCCCGTCCACGCCAAGATCTGCGTCTCTCGCCCGTCGAAAGAGAGAGGGGGCAGGCCCGGCAAGACACAGGCCTCATCAGAAGACCGGCCCCAGACCCTCGCCTCTTCTGTCCCATGTGTAATTCTCCATCGTCAACGGACCACAACCTAGCGGCCTTCTATGCATGACTGATCCGCTTGCCGCCCTTGACAAGAACCCTTAGTCGTTGCGCGCCGGTGGTTGTCTCGTTCTGTTTTCCTTCAAAAGGACCTGGCCTCCCCCGTCCCATCTTCCCTGAGATCGTGCGGTATCCCTCTCCTTCCTTTTCTCATCCCCCTCGGGTCTCGCTCCCGTAATCTTTGTTTTTGCAACAGACAACCGAGTCTGTTCACCCCTCACAAGCCTTGAGTGATACAAGCCTTGTCGACACATCATCACCATGTCCTCAGACGGGGTCACCCCCACCAAGGTGCTCGAGGCCGATGAGAAGGCCTCTGGCAGCCTTCCCGGATACGACAGTGGCAGCGGAAACGCCATCCGCGGCGACATCCACGAGGAGAGCTGGGCCACCCGTAACGGCCTGAACGCCGAGTCCTTCAAGAAGAAGGAATATGGCCGCGGTGTCGTCGAGCTCGACCGTGCCATGAGCACTCGCCATCTGCACATGATTGCCATCGGTGGATCCATCGGTGCTGGTTTCTTCGTCGGTTCCGGTGGCGCTCTGAGCAAGGGCGTGAGTATTTGTTGTGACAGATGATATTGCGCTCTTTCGCTGACGAACTTTCTAGGGTCCTGGTTCTCTCTTCATTGATTTCTTGCTTGTTGGTATCATGATGTTCAACGTCGGTAAGTGTTGGAGAAGGACCTTTCGCATCGCGCAACGAAAGCTAACGCGCCGCAACAGTGTACGCCCTCGGTGAACTCGCCGTCATGTACCCTGTCTCTGGTGGTTTCTACACGTACTCGACTCGCTTCATTGATCCTTCCTGGGGTTTCGCCATGGGCTGGAACTACGTCTTCCAGTGGGCTGCCGTTCTTCCTCTCGAATTGACAGTTTGCGGTCTCGTCATCGGATATTGGGATAGCGAAACCAGCGTCGCCGTCTGGATCACTGTCTTCTTGGTCGCCATCATCATCATCAACGTCTTCGGTTCTCTCGGATATGCTGAGGAGGAATTCTGGTCAGCTTGCATTAAGCTGGGTGCCACCGTCATCTTCATGATCATCTGCTTCGTCCTCGTCCTCGGCGGTGGCCCCAGCAGCGGTCGTTACAACACCTACCAAGGCGCGAAGCTGTGGTATGACCCCGGTGCCTTCCGCAACGGTTTCAAGGGCTTCTGCTCCGTCTTCGTCACTGCCGCCTTCTCCTTCTCCGGAACCGAATTGGTTGGTCTCGCCGCTGCTGAGGCTAAGAATCCCGTCAAGTCGCTGCCCGGTGCTATCAAGCAGGTCTTCTGGCGTATTACCGTCTTCTACATTCTTGGCCTCTTCTTCGTCGGTCTGCTGATTCCCTCTGACGACCCTTCCCTGCTGTCCGAGTCCTCGTACTCTGATGTCAAGGCGTCTCCTTTCGTGCTTGTCGGCAAGTACGCTGGCCTTGTGGGCTTCGATCACTTCATGAACGTTGTCATCCTTGTGTCTGTTCTGTCGATTGGTGTGTCTGGTGTTTACGGTGGATCGCGTACCCTCACTGCCTTGGCTCAGCAAGGCTATGCGCCCAAGATTTTCACCTACATCGACAAGTCTGGCCGGCCTATGCCCTCTGTTATCGCTATCCTCATCTTTGGCCCGCTGGCTTACGTCAACCTCAACGCTTCCGGCCCCGTCGTGTTTGATTGGCTGTTGGCGCTCTCGGGTCTCGCCGCCGTCTTCACCTGGGGCTCCATTTGCCTCGCTCACATCCGTTTCCGCAAGGCGTGGGCCTACCACGGCCACACCGTTGACGAGATCCCTTTCAGAGCTATTGGTGGTGTCACCGGCTCCTGGATCGGTCTCTTCCTCTGCTTCGTTGTGCTTGCTGCTCAGGTATGGTGTTATCGACTATTGTTAATGAATGCAAAATGCTAACCGAGGAACAGTTCTACACTGCCATCGCCCCTCCCGGCACGAGCGAGCTCAACGGCGTCGAAGGCTTCTTCAAGTCATACCTCGCTCTCCCTGTCGTTATCCTTTTCTGGGTTGGTGGCTTCGCCTGGAAGCGTACCGGTTGGCTACGCACCTCCCAGATGGACGTCGACACTGGCCGTCGTGAGCTTGACTGGGACGAGATCCACGCGTACCGTGCCAAGATTGCTGCGATGCCTGCATGGAGACGTGCTATCAACCACGTTTGGTAAACGGGAGAATGATTGTTTGAACGAGAAAAAGAACGGCTCCCGGGTTGCACTAGCTCAGTGTCCGGGGCCATGGCAACTTGCCATTCCATGTACATTGTAATGCAGGACCGCCCACCATCGATTAGAGGGGTACCTGCTGGAACATACACGTTCCCGTCTAGTCATTTCTTAGCAAAATCAAGATACCACGAGTGTTTTCACCTACCTCATGCTAGTTGGCCCGTCTCTATGATGTTGTGAATGTCTCCAGCTGGATTGCAGAAGATGCCGTTGGTTGCACCTGGAAGAAACATTCGAGGGCGATGAAAGAAGCCGCTGGCGTCTTCGTGGGGGCTGATGTGGTGGCTTGGAGTTCTTATATACCGCGACGGAAGGGCCAAGACAGCCAAGCGGTGGTGGTGTCTTATCTCTTTGGAAGGTGCCAGCTCAGCCATCTCCCACTCCAGAAGCAGTGGCCGGATAGGCTAAATGGCAATCAATCTTGGGAGACAAGGGCCCTGTCGAATGAGATGGCGCGGGGAGGTCTTGGGGTGTTTGGGGGTTCGTCTTGGGTCATTGGCAAGGAGATAACGCCAGACCACCCAGAAGAGCAGGTCGCAGGGTATCTTCGGGGGTTGTCGCCAGTGTTGGTCGGGCCGGTTCAATCGATATCTGCTGTCGAGGACTCGTTGGCGAAGCCTTCGGGGGAGCTTGCTGGAGGTTCTAGCCGGATCCAGTGCCTCCTCCTCTTCGAAGGTGCAGGGCCAAGGGGTCGAGATAGCTGTAGAGCCATATCAATGCCGCTCGTCTGCTTGATCGCGGGGGTAGTGTCTGGCGTGTCGGGCGTGACGAAGATATCGGCTGTCAAGGCCGAAATGACGGGTGAGGTTCCGACGATAGCGATTTGGTGTTGTGTCGCGGTGTACGTGGGAGGCCGAAGTCGGTGAGGTGTTGTTTCTTCCAAGATGGAGGTGCTTCTTGGACGTCCCCGACCATTCGAACGACTGGAATCGGATCAAGTTCTTCCGGGTCTATCTAAATAAATTTCATTGTTGGAAAGTGCGAATGAAAAGTAGCAACTGCGCTTTGTGTCGAGGAAAGAGCATCACCTCCCGTTTGTTCCTTCTGTTCCCAGCCGTCGCGTGGTCGGTGGCTCCCTCCAGCTTAAAAGGCGTTTCCTGCTAGCGCCGCAGGGTGTCAAAGACGCCTTAGAGGGGACGCCCTTCAGCGTCCCCAGAGTCAAATTGCCCCATAACTTGCTGTCATTATGGCGCCCTTTGGGGACATGTCCTCCACAACGACCCGCTAACGTCAAGGCTGAACCCCACCGGTCCCTCTGTAAAATTTCCCCTTTCGACCCTCGGGGAAGCTTAGGTTCTGCTTCTTGTGACATAGGTATGTAAATCATCCGCGTATTCGCCATCAAAACCTCGCATTTTCCTCTTATTAACTATTGAGATATTGCGTCTCTCCATCTTTCTTCCCAGCCATTCAAATGCTGCGTCAAGCGATGGCATGGTTCCGGATTGGGCGTTGGTGCTTCATCCGGCTTTATTGGACAAGACATCTTCAACACTCCGAGGCTTCCATCATCTGATTCGTCCAGGAACATGTTTATTCTGATGGAATGCTCTGCGTCGCTGAGAACTCGGCCGCTTGCTACAGTCAGTTCAGGCCTCGGAAAATCATGAAGCGTCAGAGAAGCTACCTACTCGTAGCCTTCAAGAGTGGATGACGATGACGCAGTGCTTGTGTTGCTGGCCATGATGGTGAACGAGTGATTTGGGATGAGCCGAGAAGCTTCATAAGGGCCTTGAAGCGAGCTAATTATACAGGCCTCGGATGTTGAAACATTCGTTGAACTCTCACAATATTTCAGAAACCTCATGTCTCCATGTTTTGCGAAACAGCGCAAGCAATCTCACCGAGACGGACCGGTGCCATCCCTTCGGACCAACGAGCTGCACCGCACGGCCGGGCAACGGCGTGGAAATTAAGTGGAGGCACCGCACTCGGCCAAGTGGGTCCCCTCAGCCGCAATGCGCCCCCGAGTTTTGCGCAGCGGCGTAAAACTCGCGCCGCTCAATCCTCACTCATAAGCCGCTTGCCCCTGACATTGTCAACCTCTCTTCACTCACATCTGCACCCCAGCTGTTAACAACCTTTCACGAACCGAAGCGTAGCATCGTTTGGTTTCCGATACTAGATGCTCATACTGGGCTCACAGCCGTCATACTTGGCGCCACTTTTGCTTGCTTACCCCGCCATTGACCCCGTTCCAGGGACGCAACGACAATCATGAGCCCCCCGCCAGAAGAGGGCAAGGCCCAGGTCCCTCACGACGAACAATCGAAAGGCAACGACGAAAGTGACCGCAATGGCTCACCCGATGCGACAGATATCAGCCCTGAAGCTGAAGATGCTGGCCCGGACCTCTCTGTTTTCGACCCAGAATTCGTGAGCGTTGAACCACAGCATCCGGAAATTGACCCATCCGAGTCGGCCCAAAGTCCGAAGACAAAACTCGAAGAGCAATATCGAAGACCACGCTTTGAGGACATTGTTCCTCACTGTTCCGACAACGGAACTATAGCCACATCTCAAGCATCCAATGCCAGCACACCTAGTGAAACAGCCGTCAAGGACGAGGATTCTTCCAATGAAGAGGGCTCATCCAGCACTCACGATGAAGACCCTGACGGAAACAAAGACCCTCCAAAGACTGTACAGCGAATGATGGTCGACAGTGTCATGACTTCCTTCATGGACTGGCTTGATGTCAAGCTGAAGGTGAAAGGAGAGGAGGAGAAGAAAAATCTTTCGAGTCTTCCTTTACTGGGGGCACCTCAACCCATGACCGAGGGCCTGAAACCAACCCTAAGTCCTCGATTCACAGCTCCAATGCCAGTCCCAACGGGATTCGCTCCATTAAAACCCTTGACTGGTGCCTTTGGCTCTGGTCAAACTTCAGGCACGGATAAGGCAGCAGAAAGCTACACTATCATACATGAGAAGCAAAGCAGTATTGAACGTCCGGGGCTTTCGAAAAAGGAAGAAAGAGCAGAAGACGTCGAGAGGAAAAGAGCGAAGCTGGGAGGGCTCAGAGCGACCAGAGAAGGCCTGAGAAGTGACAGAGAAACCCACAAAGAGTCTCTCGTCCAGTCTCTGGTCGGTACCTCGTCGACTGCAGCATCGAACTCAGCTTCATCCCGGGACGAGCCCAGGAGACTCAGACGTTCGTCAAGACCAGTGGACACACAGTCTGCACTGAGAACCCTTTCTTTGTCGGAGGAGCCTGCTGAAGATGAGCGGGACAGCACGATGCCAATGCTGGCATCGCCCCCTCCACCACCCGCTCCCAAGGCGAAGTCTTTCTCGTTCTCAAATTTGTTGAAGAGAAGCAAGAAGAAGAAGGGTATGGAAGAAAGTGAGGAAGAGAAGAGAGGATCAGGTCTCGAAAAAGCGGAAGAGGAAGACGAGGACGACGACGATGAGGAGGTCCTGTCTGGAGAAGCCGCCGCATCCGAGGCGGCAACTAGCCGAGGGGGTGAAGCCGTGGAAGAGCTCATGACATACCCGCCGACGGTATTGGACCTCGACTTTGAACCCAGTGAAAGTCCGCCGTCTGCAGGGGGGCCACCCCCCATGCCTGCTGCTTCAACAAGCTACGAGGTAGCAGAAGAGGATCTACCTACTTCAAATAAGTCCCCAAAGGCACCAGTACATCATAGGAGAAGCTCTGCGAGGCTCAGGAATGAGAGACGGCTCAAATTGCCCTCGCTGGTCTCTGATGTCGACTCACCGGCGCCAGCCAGTAAGGTGGCAGCCGAAGAAGAGGATGAGCGGATACGTGAGCGGTTACGTACAAGGTTCGAGCGCGGAGGTTCGGCATCGTCGCCGGGTTCAGGGAGAAGATCTGGGGCTTCATCGAGGAGGAGGGAATCATCGGCCCAAGAGCCTCCAGGTGGAGCTGCACTACGAGCATCGGCACAAATGCACCATCCATTAGCCATGCCTTATAGTGACATGCAATCCGAGGACGATGCGGTATTTCATCAGTTGACCGAAAACATTCCAGTCGATGGCAATGTAGCACAAAGACCATCTCCCGGTCGCCACTACAGTCGCTCGTGCGCGGTGGATCATTCAGCAAGAAGAAGATTGCCCGCAATGTTGGGGGCAGCTGCGACCAGCCAGACACAAGATCCAAAGAGTCGCAAGAGGAGACCTTTGGCATCAAAGCGCAGCAGATTGGATGACAAGGACATCGGAAACGAAGACGAAGAAGGAAAGGATGGGGATGGAGATGGGAATCGTCCGCCTCGCGCCAAGCTTCCCAAGGTTCAGGAGGACGAAGTCAGCGGTGCGAAGCTGGCTTGTCCTTTCTTCAAGCACAATCCGCGCAAGTATAAGAACCAGCGTCCCTGCTGTGGCCCGGGGTGGGATCACGTTCATCGCATCAAGTAAGTCGTCGCCATCGCAACATTCAGACGGGATGCTAATACACGGTACAGGGAGCACATATACCGCAAGCACTCACTTCCCAAGTTCTCCTGCCCCCGTTGCTCTCAACCCTTTGAGACTCAAGCAGACCTGCAAGCCCACGCTCGCTTGCCTACTCCATGCCAAGTCAAGGAACCGGAGGTTTTGGACGGCATCACCCAAGACCAAGAAAAGAAGCTTCGGTCGCGGAAGAAGACCAGCGGTAAAGAGCTCACCGAAGCCGAGAAGTGGACTCAGGTCTACGGCATTCTCTTCCCAGACGTCAGAGAGCGAGAGATTCCGTCCCCATGTAAGTCAAATATCTCCTCCTTACCGACGGAACGCACCAACTGACGAGCTTCAGACTACAACACAGAGGACGCCCAGACGAATCCAGGCGGATATGAGGACTACCTCCGTCGCGAACTCCCCACTCAGGTCCGCCGACAGCTCGAGAAGGAAGTCGAGCAGCAGCTAAGCTTCGTCGAGGAAGGGATGAAGCAAAAGGTCATTGAGATCGCGCGCAACTTGCAACTCTCACTGTTCAAGAGCTACCAGCAGATTGAGACTCAAGAGAGAGACACCGAAGGGCCCCCACCGAGCGCCGGCTACATTTCGAGTTCTGACTTCGTCTCGTTCACTGCGACGGATACGTCGCCGTCGACGATGACCACTGCCGGCACGACACCGGAGATGCCAGACCCGTTGGAGATTTTCGGCGGTGACCCCGCGATCCCGGATTTCAACTTTGATTTCTTATCCCAGGATCCGTCTGCTCAGTCACAAGGGCACGAGAAATCGTCTGATCCGGCGTTTGGGATAGACCCATATGCTACGTCGGGACCACCCACGATTCAACCGGGCATGGAGATGTTCGGAGGTCAGCAGTTCGGTATGCCATATTACGATGTGGAGGGCTACGATGAAAGGCAGGGCACAGTCCGAGACATGAGTGTGCTCAGCTATGCGCCCTGAGATTCAGGCAATGAGTAATGACTAGTATTTTGAGATACCCTTCAATATCAGCACGAGATTCCCATAGCGGGTTTTTGTTTCAATTACCAATACGATGCCAAGTGCTTGAACACCCGTCGGATGCGGGCTGCTGACGGGAACCGGGCTGTTGGTTCTAGCCAAACCTCTTAAACCCGGTAGGGTGTGCAGTCTGATGTATTATTCTGCCCCGGAACAGGCCCGTTCGACCTCGTGAAACAATTGTAGCGCTTGGCACAGCTGGCGCCGTTTCCAAACACCCTTCACTCATTCCTACGGCCATCTTCCGCTGAAGAAGCCAGATCTTTCTCCCGCTAGTCTTGGCTGAATGGATCCCTTCTAGATGCCAGCACCAACCGAATGGTCTACATGTCGTCTGATTTGGCCCTTCGGGCGCTTCCTAGCGCGTACCATTCAGCTGGTATTATTACAGCCGAGTGTTCGCATCAGACTGCAGAGTGCGACGTCAAAACCTGCTTTAGATTCAGCACGACGGGCTACGAGGGTCACTGCAGTCGTATGAAGAGTTTTCTCATTAGACTCGTGGTATCATTGAACTGCTCCTAAAACCCTAGACTCCTGTCATGGCGATGTCATAATATGAATCGGCCGTTGCTGATTTACCGGATCAGAGCGCCATACACTAAACTCGACCGTCTTGCTGATTCCTCCCAGAGGTTTTGGTGTTTCGATCCGCTCAAGATCGACGTCGGATCTCGAATGTCCACTGCTGCTGAGGATGTTCACCTGCGAACTCGTCCGCTTGCCGCCTCGGACCTCCACCACTCTCTCGCTTTGCTGCGTCGCCGGATCCCAGTCGTCTGGCTTCCTGCCCGTGGTGAACCCTCGGAAAACCGGGCGGCTTGGACAAGTCGGATCGTACACCTGAGTTGTGAAGACCAACTTGGATGCCAGTACGTCGATGCTGGATGCCTCTCATTAGTGGACATGTCTCACGCATGGTAGAGATGCATTTGACTTACAACATAACGACGGGGAAAAGACACTCCAATGTGTACGCAAACCTATCCAATTGGCTCGCGGCATTTGTTGCGCTCTGAGCCGTCGTCTGAAATGAGTACGTGATGGCCCTCATCGTTCCAAGGATAGCAAGCGTCGCAAGCCGGACCTCCGTACTCCTCATGAGGTACTTGAATAGACCACCTTTCAATGCCGCTCGGATCGACGTAGATTTGACCTCGGCAAATGTCTTCAGTAGAAAGAACGCGCTTACGCATTCCAGCGCTGCGATGAGCACGAAGTAGGCGATGTGAAGATTGTTTACCGTGCTCTGCAGATTCGTGTTTCCACGCAGAATAAACTTGACGCGCGAGGTGGCGATCATGATCCGAAGCGCGACGAGGGCAGCGACAATGATCCAAAACAGGCTGTTGAAGATCCTCCATCCCCGATCCTTCAGTATCCTGCGCAGGAGCACGTAGCTATAAAACGATAGCCCGACCTCCTGTATCTGCCGCGTTTGTCAGTCTGGTCCCCGGTGCTGCTCAGTTTCTCCGCAGACGAACCAGCCAGAAGAGATCCCCGAACGCTGAAGCGGCGGCCTTGTTCTTCAACCCGTACCCTTCGTCATAATATGCGTAGTAGCAGAGACCGTTTGCGATGGCTCCCGCCGCCGATGAGATGATCGGTACCACAGTGATCTGAGAAAAAGTCGTGATCCCGACGATGAGGAGTCCAAAGAAGACGTTCGCAGCGCCGATGGTGCTGAGAATCGACCAGCTCAACTCGAAGTAGACTGGTAGTATTGGCGTCGACATGATGCCGCCGATGGAACTACTGCGTGGCTGCCGGGCTGGCGCATGGCGTACGCGGAGCGGAATGGGTGGCATTGGGAACTGCAAGACTAGTGAGAAAGCGGCTGATCACAGGCTTATAGGCCACCCAAACCTTGCAACTGCACCTTAATCATGAACAGGTTGGATCCACTAGGCGCGTCTATTCCCTCTGAGAGCCGTCCATGATGCCTCGAGCTTAGACTTTAGCGACTGGGAGGGGAGAAACAGACGGAGCTCCATGGGGCGGACACAAACTACGCCTGGTGAAGGATGTTGCCTGATGAGGAGCTGTCCGCCTCGGCCACTCCTTGCCTCTGGCACGCACATAGAAACCTTCAAAACCTTTGGCCGCAGGTATGGCACAGTTTGCCGGGCTGTCTCGCTAGAGGTTGCTCTTCGGGTGCTGGGATGTACCTTCCGAGAAGCTCGGATTGAGCGGAGAATACGGGAATGATCAACGTCCGGAAATATGTAGTAGACGATGCCATGTGTCTTGCATAGGATAGGGATGTATCACAGAGCGCTTATCAAAAGTCAGCAAATCTGTTGCATGGAATTGGAAAAGCCAACTGTTCATAAACACCTAGGTCCAGCGAGGCTTTTGGTCGCATAGTCCCATAGCATATCGATGCCGCTTAGCGGCCCTAAGATGATGGGAGGGCACATGGCACAGTCAGATGGGATGATTCGCCGAACATGTGAGGATGGATGCCCTCCATCAACTACACCACTGTATACCGACTGAGGGCGGATAGAAGTTCCACTAACGGCAGCATACTTCCATCGTACTAGAGCAAACAATAAAGCAACCAATGACAGCTTCGTGAACTTTAAGCTGCCGCTGAGCGGTAGCCCGCGTCTCACCTTACGATTCCATATCCAGCTGTCAGAGTTTCGTGGCGCGGCACTTGCGAGTTTCCAAAAAGCTTAAAGCGACCCTACTCCTCCCGCTGCTCAAAGAACTGACATGGAAAGGTCCTTGCAGAATGATGTGCTACTCGGTACCCACTCAAAACGTGGGATTGTTGGTCTAGGGGGACGCCATGGTGGCGAATCCAAAGACCTTCGGGGCGGGGTCTAGATGTAGGATGGAACCACCATTTTGTCGAACACATGCTGAGATGCTGCAGGTGAAATGTGGAGATGGACCCTCCTGTATGCGACTGAGACGACCGGTGGCCGTAATGTTAACGACAACATGTGCGATTATGAGATGATCTGTGTTGACATGCTTAGCAAGCTCTTGGCGGAGTCATGGTGTTAGTGTACTTCGTATTATCACACCAACTCGTAATTCTGATGGCTGCCTCCATCTCTAACACTCGAAAACCTGTTGGTTCTGCATCCATTACCTAACTGTTGGCCCGGGTAGTGGCCGGGTTTCGACTACGCGCACGTCTGAAAGGCACACATCAGAAGGCCGAGCTCCTGGGCGGGTTGGAACACGGGCTCAGACGCCCTTTCATTGGATGTATCCCACTGGCAACACCTTGATGCCAAGTGAACAGCATGTAATTGGATCGCGAGTCGTGCCTGTTCCGCATTTTCACGGCTTCGTCTGATCGCCTGGGCCATCTGAAAGAACACACAAATGCCGGCCCAAAGAACGACGATGCCGACCCGTCGACTCAGAAAAGCTCGCATCCCGTCAAACAGCCGGCTGGACATCGGACTATGATTCCGCTGTCCGAACGAACAGGAAAGAACATAGGTTGGATAAGAAAACAAACATTTGAGTCTATTTTACTGGTGTGGCGGCAATGAAAGCCGTACTCGACCTACTTCCGAGCGAGATGCCCGGTTTGGACCGAATAGTATGCTTTGAAATAGTCGTGAACAGCGAAGAAATCACGTCTAGACAGAAACCAAAAAAAAAAACCCTTGACGATGAACTCAGTAGCCCTTCGTATGAGCGAGGCCTCGGTGTTATCTGCTCGGGCATCGGAGCTACTCGAGGTTTCAAGTCCCTCAAGACACACCAGTCCAACTGACACGATCGAACGCCCTTTCGTGAACGACGACTCAGCACGTGCGTCTTCATAGGGCTATTGCGAAATGGTGTTCGCGATGGGAACCTATCCGAAACAGAAACCTGTCGGGTCTATCCTATACCTCCGCGCGCCCCGCGCGCCCCAAGTGCCGCACGAGAGATGAGGCAGTATTCGTTATCCCACTCCCCGCGGCGACCTGCCATCGAAAACTCTCGAATGATTCGCGTAGCGCGTCTGCACTTGGCTGACAGAGATGGATGCGGTCCCAGGACACACCTTGCTCGTTGAGTGTATCCATAGCGTCTGCGCCGCTTAGCCGTCGTTCACGGTTGTTGTCAATTGAGTCGATCGGGTCTCCATGGTCCGTCGTCCGGTGCGGCGGCCGCAAGCACCGCCGAAGATTTGAAGATAGTTAACACCAACTGGTCGATTGCCAGCTAAGCAAAATTGATGGAAGGTCGCAGAATTCAAGTCATTGATCTCATTAATTCATATCCCAGTGCTAAGCCATGAGGCCCTGGACCTGTGTAGAAATAATCCTCTCCAAGACGCCCACGCTGAATGTCGCAATTCCAAACGCCCTAGCTACAGATATAATTTTGGTAGCAAACTTTTCTTGCCGGCCTTCCGGACTTCGCTGCTTTTTGTCCTCAAGAATCCCAGAAGACCTGCCAAGCTAATGAGATAAGCTGGCGCAGGTCGATAATACCTCTCCTCCGTTCGTCATCCTAAGCCATCATGAACTCCTGCGATTGAGCTCTGCCGCCATGAGCGATGGAGGCATCGTCGAGCATCGAGAACCCATCGTCGGAACCTAGTGCTGATATTTCGGATTTGCGCTTATCATTGTCGAACATGTCCCAGTCCATTGATGAGTCTCCTCCGACTGCTGTGTTGCTCATCGCTGCTCCCGCATTGGCCGTTGTCGCATTCGCCGCCATGCTTGACGAGACCAAGTTCTGCGCAGCGCCCGAGATGTATTCTTCGATGAAAGAAAATCCGCATCCACCATGCTGAAGAACCATATTCTTCAGCATCAAGATCTCGCTCCGCAGCAGAGACGCCTCAGCGTGTAGGCTCTTGTTGACATTTTCCACAACCACCTCCTGCGACTGCAGCTCATCGATCCCCTTCTGCTTCTTTTGCCGGCACTTGTACGCAGCCTCTCTGTTGCGGGCGCGGATGCGATTCTTTTTGTCTTCGGTGGTTTTTGGAGCCTTGGCATCGTCGGCGCCGCTCGCGGATGCCGTCGAAGCGCGTCGCGCGGCTGCGGACTTCTTCTGCACCTTCGCTACCGTCGATGATGTGGCCGTCGCTGGCGCGTCTGCCGCTCGTGTCTTGGGCTCTGCGAGACGAGGTCTGCCGCGCCGCCTCTTTGGCGAATCGAGTGCTTCTCCCGGCAAGGGTTTCGTCTCGTGCTCGGGGCTTATGATCAAGGGGTCGACTGGAGGAGACTTGATGTTCGAATTCGGCGGCGATAGTACGGAGCTCACTGGAGACAACAAAGAGTTTGTCGCGGACGAGTCCTGCCACACATGAGAGCTCCGTGTTGAGGGGGACGATGTGCTGTCGGAAATGATTGACGCCGCGTCGGGTGCTGAAGTCAGGGCCAAGGGCGCGACGAAGAACTGAGGTGCAGTGTTGGCAGCCTCATTCTCTCTCTTGATATTCAATTGTCGCTGGAAGTAACAATCCGCTTGTTGCTGGTCCGGTTGATGTTGTCGTATTTGTTGTTGCGTGGTATATTCGTCTGTCGGGATGGCGAAACAGTCAGAGAGTAGATCGTCAAGTGCGCTGCTCGACAACCCACTTTGAAGTACACTCACACCTGCTGAGCTTGAATTCATGGTTGCTGAGCTCTGTGGCTTGTGATGTTGCGCCGGGGCAGACAAGGTTTACCAGGGTATCTTGGCCTGTCAGGATATGGTTGGCTAGGTTCGGGGCTCGGAATAGCGTCGCTCTCAGTGTGACCGTGCTCTATTTCTTGCCAAGGATATGGAACGGAGTACTGAGGAATTGTAAATGTAAATCAAACAGTATTCAATCCCGAGGCTAGTGTGTCTGTAGATTGGCGAACATATGTATATGGCATTGCGAAGGGGGCGAGAAGAGGAGGTCCTGGGTACTTTATACAAATCTTTCGCGGGGAGCAGGATCCGGACTCCAAGTCCGGTCTTTTGCCTGGGACGAAAGCGACAAACAAGAACAGGCAGGACAGTAGCTCAACAGGTGGTGGACAGGCAGGCCTTTGCCAACTAGATCGAATCTGGGCTTGAGGAGTGATACTGTACAAGGGATGGGACCAATCAGGTAGCACAATTGAATCTCAACAAGGTCGAGGAGCATGAGCAGCCACAATGCCGAGGGGGCTTGTGGATGGGCATCCCTCATCGAGATACTAGACATGCCGTGTCGCGCTTGAAAAGACCGCGTACCCGTGCAGGACCAAGCCACTTCCAGGCCACTAGGACGGTCCAAAAGCACATGGAACAGTTCCAGAGGCAGAAATTGAAAGAGGGGCAGCAGCTTGTCAGCTAACACTGTACAATGACGACTGATGTCCCTCCAACGCCATCTCGACGTCCTGCTTTCGTCGTGCCAAGGGAGGGGCCCCGGAGACAACCTCCGGACAACATGACGCAACTCATTGGGCCGCCACCGCCCGGAAATCCATCTGGACCGTCGGCCTCTCTCAACGGTCAGTCTCTTCCCCACACATTGTTGGACATTGACCAAGCAATGGATGGAATGGGGAGCCCGTGGTTGATCGGCCGGGAACTTCTTAATGGCCCAGCTCTGGCGGCACCAGTTCACACACTAACATGCCACTAGAATGGAATCGTGTGCCCAGTCTTCCTAGTATTCCCGGTGTTTCCAGTGTTCCCAGGCACATTAGACACCCCTCACAAGACACCGCTCCACGAGGTGTTTCCCATTCCCGTGGCATCCCCACCTCTTGCTCCCATCATCCCACGCAAGTTGTGCAACTCGCCTGTTTTCTGCCACCCTCCACAGAAAGCGACTGTCCACGTTTCCCGAGTTCCCGAACGTGCCAAATGATTGGAGCTTTCCACCCTGTTAGTCAAGAATTGTGGCTTTGAGTGGCGAATACCCTGGTCTATGTGGCACATCCAGCACCCCCGAGCCACATATCCTGCCAATGAAGGTCTCTCGGAGAGCTTTCCATCGCACACGTACTGTCTCGAAAACTCAACAAACAAGCACATGAGCTTTATCGCCCCCGTGAAGATCTTCCAGCACAACGTCACACGCGCCATCATTGGGCGACGGAACTATCTCCTCGACCCCGTCGGGAGCCGCACTATCGCAACCTATCATCTTGGTTTACTAGTGCTAGGCCGCGCACAACCTTCGGGGTTCTCTTAGTGGGCGGGGCAAACTCCGATGGACTTTTCAAATCTCGATCTGAAGAAATCCCATGCTATCCACCCGGTGTATCATGCCGCGGGGATCGTCAGGTTGTCCGGAGAAGAACCTCCTGAAAATTCCTGCAATTGCCTGCCGCAACTGACTTGAATGTTGGTTTCCAGAGCTTTCTTGTTTTCTATTCTCCCTTGCCCCCCACCCTTCAATCGTGTTCCGTCTACCGGAACATATTGGAAACAATCAATGCCGACATTTCGGGTCTGAGCGCGTTTTCTTTCGGCTTCCACGATTGAAGATCGTGATGAAGACCAACATTTGTTGTTTTCAACTCACCCACCGCCTAGTGCTGGTGGTCACTGAATCGGTCGGCCCAATGCAAAGGGCCAACAACGTCATTCAACACGCGACCGAAGGGTCCGACGCGATCGGTCTGTCGGCATTTGAAGCTTCAATTGACGGTCTGGGCTCGAACGGGCGGTGAATTCTTGTCTAGCGCACCAACTCACCTGCCCAAATCGTCAATCGCGAGCATGCCAATGCCAGATTCAACCTAGGCCGGCCGCATCTCCCGTCGCCGGCGTTGAGACCATTTTTCCAACTAAGCTGAGACTTACCAGAGACAGGCTGGAAGAGGAAACCGAGAGGCGCTTGTTGCTTATGCTGCATCGTGGTCTTGAACCTTGTGTCCCACTTGCCGACCTTGCGCGCCCAAACCCGTCGATGGATGCTCTCCGGGTCGATTGCCAGAAATCGGTCCGGCTGCCGTTCTTTGCGCCGTTTGTGTGCCGGGACGGTGCATCGATGCAAGCCCAATTGCGGGCCCGAAAGCTCCGCACTCTTCGGCCCTCGACCCAAGCACACACTATCATCCGGGCTTCTAACAGATGAAGCTTATCGGAAAGAACACTTGTGAAGCCGTGCAGCTTGCTGGCGGGAGTGGCAGCGTGCGGGTTGACCTTGAGATCCATGACGATCGCCAGGTTGCCCAGATTGCAGCTCTTCTCAGGCCAGTCGAACCCAATCACCGCTCCCAGAGCATGTCTAGGACGTAGTAGTTCGGCTGAGAATCTGGGGCAACAAATCGGCACGAGTCTTCACAATGCTTTCACGGGAGGCCACTTCGTGCTAGATTCAGGGGGTCGTCGACGGGCGCGTGTAAAACATTCGAGATTTCCCCGCAAGGTGAGGCTTCACGGAGAAAATCCCTGAAACCAATCAGAGTTATAGGAGGAGCGGACCACAACGGTTGTTGGCCGTTTGCGGCTCCTGAGAGTCCCTTTCCGGCCCCCAATTACTCGTTGAACGCCAACTCATCATAGAGTTACAAGCTCATCACTGCAGGACAACGTTCAGACGACTGCCGAACGCGGTCTCGGCCCAGATCAACCAGATCTCCTTCCGAGACATCCAGGGACATTCCACTCACCAGGGTTGCCGGGTTGGGTATTTATGCCTTTGAGATGCACCCAACAACCTTGCAGGGGTGTTGAATCAATGGTCTTTGAAACTTGGCTCACGTCGAACGCAGCATTGAAGACAGATAAGATGTGGCATCGCGTCAGTTCGTCAGATGATCTTCCCATCAACTGCCAATAGCGTCGATCGAATCTTGGTGAGCTAGAAGTTTGTTATCACGAGTGGAATGTAAATGTCTTGATCGGAACCATTTTCAAGCCATTCCCCGGCCCGAGGAGGCCTCAAAGCAGTCGTCCCGTCGGCGGCTGAACGCCCGATATCACAACAGGTCCAACCGCGGATATCCCGTCCTGAAGACGTTCTCAGGGTCGAACTTGTTCTTAACCCCCTTCAACCTCTCCAGCGTCTCCTCTCCGTAAGTAGCCACCCAATCTATATCCGATTCAGGAGACAAGTTGCGGTAGCCGTAGGGCAGGGTCAGACCCTTCTCCTTCAACTTGGCTATAAGACCGTCATTCCACTCTTTGTAGCCTTCGAATTCCGTGGTTTCACCCTGAGCATCCTGAACGCCGGCATTCGGGTTGAAGATACGGTGGCGCTTCCGCAGCGGGTAGCACGCCTCCGGGTTCGGCTCTAGGACCCTGCCGTGAGCGCTGTGAATGACGTTCGCACACCACGGACCGGGAGGAGGGTTGGCGGCGATGATGTTGTTGATTTCTGGTGTCATGTACTCAATAGTACACACTCGAGGGTAATAATGAGTGCCTGACGGGTTGGGAAAGGAGCTGAAGAATCCGTAATCGGTAGCTGTGGGTGTCAGCGCTTGTTGTATACGACAGGCCAGGATGCAACCTACTTTCTGCTACGGTGTCTAAGAGTACCGTTCCGAGAGACTTGATCTTACGATGAAACTCCCAGCCCTCGTCCAGGTTACCATCAGTAGGCGTCCATACGAGGAAGAAACTCAGGACGGGCCCGACGCCAGGCATCGCCATGTGAGTGATCTCTGCCGCGGTATTGATAGGCAAATCTTTCTCCATCTCGCTAAATTTGTTCAAGACCTGGCCGGTCTCAGAGTTCGGGAATCCTACGAGACCACCCAAGCAGGCCGTCTCAGGATACACCTTGAGTCGAAGCTCGACCACGATACCGAAGTTGCCATTGCCGGCACCGCGAAGCGCCCAAAGCAACTCCTTTCCGTCAGGGTGCTGGTCAGTGTCGACCACTTCGCCGCTCGCGAGCACCAATCGGGCTCCCAGGATCTGGTCTACACCGAGGCCATAGAAGGCGCTGGAGTACCCGTAACCTCCACCCGTAGCCCAGCCCGCGATTCCAACGCCCGAGCACCACCCGTGAGGCGTCAGGAGTTTGTGTTCATGAAGGAATTTTGACAGGGCGAGGCCTATGATACCGCCGCCGACATGGACCGACTTCCTGTCCTCAGCGACGACAGCGCTGTCAAGGGCGCGGAGATCGATCATGATGCCATCTTTCCCTTGGTTTTGGGTGAAGCTTAGGTCGTGTCCACCAGCTCTGATACCGAAGGGCAGGTTCTGCGCCTTTGCTTCTTGAACCACGGCAGCGACCTCGGCGTCTGTTCTTGGTCTGAGGATCGCCAGAGGCTGCTTTGTCGCTGCACCGTTGTAAAACGGTCTCACGATCACGTAGGATTCTGACGAGGGTGTGTATATGGGCAAATCGGGATGTTTCTCGGCGAAGCCTTGAAGCTGGGGCGCATCTTTGACGATCTGTTCTGGTGTTGACCCCTCGGGGTTGGAGATGCGGAATTCGCCGGTTGCTTCAAGTGATGCCATCGTGATTGGTCTCGTCGGTATCTGTGTGCGCCAAGTTTCTGTTGCAGATTCCTTCAACGAGAGGGTAGCCTGCTTTTATTTACAGCCTGCACTCTTAATCAATCCAACAGACCCCTCACTCCAACGCAGGTCGGCCCAGATCACGACGTGTTGGAACAGGGGTCTTCCGGACCCTTGAATGTAAAGTGTGACGGATGCTCCTCTTGAAGAACCGAGACGCCCAATCGCTGTCGTTGAGAAGTGGATCGCGACACTTGCAGGTTGCCGAGGGGCTAATGCCGCTCACGTCAGCTTCGGATGTTGCTCGAGTTGAGAGATTCCATTGACAAGGCGCTAGATGCCGCGAGTTATTGGAACTCAGTGTATTATATTGGACTAGGCTTTATCAGGCATATTCTAAACGCTCGATGTGTTTGCGACCGAAAGAAAAAAGCATCTCAGTTGAAAGCAAAAGCCCGTTCTAACCAGACACCAGTTTACCCGCCATGCAGCCCCGCTCTCCCGTTGGTCCAACATATCATGCCGGAGATGCACTCTGAAAAGGGACTTTGGTAGTCAAATGGTACCCATTCTGTGAGGTCTTTTCTCAAGTGGGCTATCAGTGCCGCTGAAGAGTCGATATTGCAACGGCAAGCTGCAGAAATGCTGCAGGGTCTCCGAATGTGGCGCGCCGTACCTGCACCGCCGATGTACGACCCATCATGTTAACACGCGTTCTTTTTCGCCAGTCATGCGATGGAGGACTTGATAGGATTGATCGGAAAGTTCGAAAAGAACGTCGACGTCTTCCGACTCGGCTCCCTCATTGGCAGAAGAGATCTGAGCCACGTGCAGCACCAACTTTTCGAAGACTTTCACACCCTTCGCGTCGTGGATTTTATCAATCCACAGGACTTTTGCGAGATTCTCCTTTGCTTTTGGCCAGGTTTTTCCGAGTGAATTGCGCAGTGAAGCCAGCTTTGGTAACAGCCATACATCGTCGTTGTCATCGAACACGGCCGTAGACCCGATGACTAGTATCCAAACTAGTAGGAGTCCCGATGAAGGTGTTTCCGCTCGCGACAGGTCGACTGCCTGTAGCGTCTCCCGAAGCCTGTTTGACAACCAGACGAACCGCAATCTGGCACCTAGAATGTGGAGATAGAGTGTCGCAATGAAGCCGAGCATGGCCAGACGCAAAGATTCCGCCACGGTATCGTCATCCAGCTCTAGGTAGAGCAGCCGATACTGGATAGAAGTCATCAGTTGTTGAAACTTGATAGGGTCTATCTTCTGTGTTCGGAACAAGATTTTCACCATGGCAGAAAAGTCTTGTAGGTCTTGGAATATGTAACCCAGTCGGAGATCAAGAGACTCAACAAAGTTTCGTATAGGAGAGGACCCTTGTGAGGGTGTAACTCCCCCGGGTGAAGGACCTAGAGTAGAGGCGAATGCCGGCTCGTAGGAAAGGTTATCGCTAAAGTACACCGGTCTCTCTCCTGTGATGAGCGACCAGCCGATATCAACGCTGATCTGGGTAAGCTTTCTGAATAGAGACATCGCCACGGTAGACTCACCGACATATCTTTGCAAAGAGCTGTAAGTTATGCCTAAAGCTCTCAATCCCGCCTCTTAGCTTGACTATTTGCCGGAGACCAGCAACATGCGCAGCTGATGCCGCATGATCTCCGAACATCTCCGCCACCATGCTCATCGTCACGATTGTGGCTACTGTTGAGTCGGCGATTGCCATTTCTTTGGATGCGATGTTCTCGTTCAAATAGTTCAATGACTTGCAGATATGGTAGTTGGTTTTCTTGCTTCGCTTACTTCCCAGAAGCCAGTCATGCAACATCGCGACAGTGAAGAGGACGGAGTGTAGATAGGCTGGATCCACCAGCAGCCAATGGAACCACGGGGTCTTGCTTGCGTCGAATCGAACGCACCACTCAACAGGGTACATGGCTTCCTTGATAACGGCATAGACTAGTGCAAAATGAGGATAAACGGACTCGATTTGCGAGATGGTGGAAGGCAACCTACATTCAAACAACATCTCTCTCGAGCTCGAGTCAATCTCATCTGCAAATGGGCACGCAAAGACGTCGAAGGGGGTACGCAACAGCCTCAGAAGACCCTCTGGCTCGTCTTCACCACTCGACCAGGCAGGGTCTTCTATCATCAGGGGGCTCCATGTCGATTGAGGCACCGTTGGCGCGGGATCTGACGTCTGCACACTGTCTGTCGTTGTGGGGGGGCTGTGACGGTTCGGCACGACCCGCGTCCGCGTTGGGCGAGTGTTCTTTCCTCGCATGACATGGCTCCGGATCAACTTGCGGTCACCCGAGTTTGGCACAGTGGGTTTAACAATGAAGGCCATGTGCGCCAAACCTCAAATGCCTCCGAAGGACCTCTCGCTCTCCGGACAGACTGCAATTATCACAGGCTCCAACGTCGGGATCGGGTTGACTTGCGCGGAGATGTTGCTGGATCATAAACTGACCCACCTCATCATGGCCGTTCGATCTCAGAAGAAGGGAGAGGAAGCCGCCTCAAAGTTGCGCCAGGCGCATCCATCTGCCAAAACTGAAGTTTGGCCTCTGGACATGATATCGTACGATTCCATCCAACAATTCGTCGACCGGTGCTCCGCGCTTCCACGCATCGACTTCGTCATCCTCAACGCCGGTATCGTGAAAGAGCATTTCCAGCTGTCGCAATACGGGCATGAGGAGTCAGTTCAGGTCAACTACCTGTCAACAGCACTCCTAGCTATTCTTTTGCTTCCAGTCCTGAAAGCAAAGAAGGTTGATGGCAAGGCCCGGACTCTGTCCATCGTCAACTCGGGTACATCCTTGATGGCCAACTTCAAGGAAGCCGACAAAGCACCTCTTCTGCCTGCCTTTGACGACGAGAAGACTTTCAATAACCTCGAGCGGTATCCAAACTCGAAAATTCTGGGCCATTGCTTCATTATCAAGCTCGCCGAGTACGTAAGAAAAGAGGACGTCGTCGTCAATCTCGTCGATCCAGGCTTGACTAAGGGAACAAATCTGCACACCAACCTGAGCGGCATATTGAAGGCTTTCATGGGAGCGGCCAAGGTCCTCACCGGAAGATCACTCGAGCAAGCCGCATCGACCTATGTCAATGCCGCTGTGGTGAGAGGGGAAGAGACGCATGGCAGCTTTCTCATGGACTGGGAGATCTCTCCGTAAGTTTACCATTCAAGTAAGTAAGAACTTAGCTAACATGACTGTCAAGATTCGCCTCCATGCTTTACGAAACAAAGGGAAAGGCAGCCACTGAGCGCCTTTGGGAGGAGACCATGGAAGAGCTCGAGTTTGCCGGGGTCCGTTCGATCCTTCGGTCCATGCAGGCAAGTTCGCGATAAGAACCGGGCGATTCTCAGGGAACTTTTGACCCGCCAGTCTGGATCGCTCTTTGGGATGCTGCAGTTGGGTGGTATGCATGGCGTTTGGGCGTTGATCGATCGTATCGAGGCGATAGCTCTGTTGGATGTTGGCCACGGGTTTGGAGAGAATGGGAATAGACGGTCCTCTCATGTTCGGGCATGTGAGCAAATAGATCTCGTTGGTACTTCGTCGCTAGCTTCGTCGCTAGCTTCGCTTCCAGAATAGAAATGATATTCTCTCTCGAACCATTCCATGCATGCCTCCATCATACCCTGCGAGTCCGACGAAAGTTCTTCGAAAGGTCTTCCTTGGCGGCGTCAAAAGTTCTTGATCCTTCTCACTTGAAAGAAGAATGGGAAGTCTCAAACAACACAGTTGTTGGCGGTTGTATACTACGGAATCACTGCGCTAGCCTGATAGTCCTGGGCCAACCTCCCAGATGGCAGGCGTGGAGTGTTTTCGGTTCGTCTTCACAGCTCTTGGCCAGAGTCCGGATGAGATGATCACACAGGCTACGAATGTTGGGGGATGTTCTCAGCCATAAACAGTGGGACCAACAAGCAATTTACATCTCCGAGGAACAGATCAGCACGGCGTCTGTTCGCTGTCTCCGAGGTTCTGGCAATGTTCTAGGCGAGACGCATCAAGTCCGCACCGAGTTGGCTTACATGGTGATCTTGACGCTAATCGACCTGGTGGCCATACGACCAGTTTGTGATAACAGGGGCCTGAATGCACTCATGCAGCTGATTGAGACCTTGAAGCAATTTGGAGGGCACCCGATAGGCTATCACCGGCTCGAATTCCACACGCAGAGTTCCCTCTCAGCTCGCAACTTCACGATACTACCCGAAGATCTGGAAATAGCAATGACATCGCGGAGGGAGACAATCAACCAACAAAAGTCTCGCACTCGCTCCATTAGTCTCTCAAGGACCTTCCGCAAACTGACGACCCGGTACGATGGCCGATTCCAGCCATGCAACCGATGCCAAGCGGTCGGGTGCACTCCAGACTCCCAACAGCCTGTCAATGCATGCCAAGAATCATTATCAGTCAGGGATAATGAAGGGGGCAGTCCCCGACCAATCATTTAAGCTGCGATAGCAATTCTGCTCAGAGGCATTTGAGGAACATGGTGGACTCAGCTGGGGAGCTGAGGTTTCTTGGAAAAGACAGACTACCAAGACTTCCAAGACGGCAACATGTGCCCAGACGGAGCATTGGCATCGCCAAGTCAAGACCTAGAAGCCGCCAACCGAGGCGGCGTCTGAAATGTTGTGCGCGACCCTGGGTCTGAACTACGACTCAATAGAGTCTTTGATGGTACTTTGAATCCAGAAAACTGAGATGCTGTAGAAAGTTCCCATCACAAGCTCCGAATGAAGAAGGCCCCTTCTACAGAGCCGGAGAAGTGCTGAAAGTATGCCCCGGGCGAGTCAGTGTATCTCGCTGCCAAGCGCGCCACCGCGGTGAATCGGTTCGAATACGGAAGCTTCCTTTGGCCGGAATAGCCACATGACTGAAGGTTCCTACCAGTTGGTTCGGTGTTCGGGACAGTAGAAAAGTGTCGAATGAGAGGATCCATGGTTACGAGCCTGCCTTTCACGGCCAAACCTGCGGCGCGGCAGCTGCACCACGAGCGCCCTACCGAAGGCATCGATTGAGTCGCGCCGCACAAACGTTCCTGACGATAGCTTGGCGCGAGAGAAAGGTCTTGGCGGATGGGCCTGACTTTAAGCACTTTGTCGAGCAAATTGCGCGGAGAGATAACGATCACGCGCGCTGTTGCGGTTGCGATAACGGTGGAGAGGATTACGCCATGCGACGACGGACCGGGGAGGGGAGGGGATAAGATTGAGGGACGCGTGCCTCCAGTTGGTGTTGGGGACGGAATCGACCTGCCCAAAGAAGAAATCTGGAGAAGCAACCACCCAGTATGGTTTAGACGAAGCGAAAGTCTGCTCGTACGACTGGCCAGCCGTCGCAGGGAACTCGTTGCAAATGGCTGGTGTACGTCGTGAACATGGAATGAGTCCCTTTTCTTCTCCCTGCTGGCAGATGTCTCAGAGGAAATCCCGCCTAGAGAATACGAACCCCGCGTTGCTTGATGAACGTGAGAACATGATTTCCTTTGGTAAGGAGAGGATGCTTTAGGGATCATTGTTAGCGTGGGGGAAACCGAGGTGCTCGGTTTTGAGAGAGTAGGATTCTTGCCAAAGCAATGAGAAAATCCAGCCAATGTCGGGACAGAAAATCAGCCGGGGCGATTGATAGGACGCGTTGTCGACCCATCTAATAAGCTGCCGATACTAGGAGCTCGTGAGGGGGCTAGCCAGGGTCGACATTGGTGGCCCCTCGCCGACCGTCAAAAAGTTCCTCCAGAAGAACTCTCCTGCGGCAGACGAGCACAGGTTAATCAACTTGCCACCTTCTGTCTGGCCGGATGATACCACTGGAGGAGGCCTGACGCATGTGAATGGCCAATGGGGCATGCGAATTCCCGGAGTCTGGCCGATAAGAGACGGGGAGACGGAGCTGGTGCTTGTGAGAGGGGAAAGGAAAGACAGCCGGGGCTGGCCGTTGTCTCTGGATGAACGTGCTTTCCGTCCCACGAACGTAACGACTCGGCTTTTCAGCTGTTCGTCTCAGGCCTGGTGAGGCGGCGATGGTGTGCAGCGGGAACACATGGCGGACAAGCTTTTTTCGGGCAAGATCTCTTGACACTGCACGGATGGCAAGTCTTGGGCATCTTGGAAGCATATCGCGATGGTCTTGGAGCTCTTGGAAATCGCCTTGGAAAGCTTGTGAGTCTTGGTCTGTCTTGGGAGGCTTGGGAGGCTTCGGGGACGGCGCCACTCCCTCTCCCTCGCAGGGTTCAGCGGGTTCAACGCCCATCTTTGATCATATCCGTCTTGGTGTTCTGGCCAAATTTGCCAAGATGTTAGTCGCCTATGCCGTCGACTAGTGCACAACCCTGAAGACGGAAAACAGATGCCGACGTTTGATTCGTTGGTAGGGCTCAGCCATGCGTTGGATCCAGCCACCACACCAAGAGGATGAAGAACCGTTTTCCAGTATCCTTCTATGCTTCTTCGATGTCAGCCTGACAGTGCCTCCCGGTCATGTCTCTCGGCGGCCACGATGTCTAGAATGTTGCATTGCAACGTGGTGTGTCAAGAGCTGAACCAGCGCTTTTCGGTCTAGTCAAGTCTCTTCATGTTGTACGTGTAGAAGCGAAGCGGCACAGCGAATAAGACTCGCAGATCTTCAACGAGTAGGGTCTTAGGAATGCGTTCAAGGGCTCAGAGCACCGCGCCCGGGCGCCCTCCCAGTCCGCTCCGCGACCCAACAAGGGTTCACCTCACCATCCCCCCATCTTATCGCGCGCTCCCCGCCGGCCCCCAAGCTGGGACTTGACTTGCAGAAAGAAACGGACTTCAGGACTTCTTCCGCGGAGGTTCCCTTACACTGAACAATCACCGCGTCAGTCCCACAAGAGTTACGACTTGCCAGACGCAGGGCGTTGAGTGTACAGTACGGTACTGCGTGCACCCGCAAGCCCACGCGCGACACAACGCACACAAGCAGCGCCGTTACGGTCAGTGCGGAAAGAGACCCCGAGATGAGCACAGATGGCACGCAACGACGGATAGCCACCTTGCCACCAGCATCCCCCCGCCACTGCTTTTGCCGGGGGAGATTGCAGAAGGTGTGGGAGCCGTAGCAGCAAATCATCCCCATGCCGGTTGATGAGAAGGCAGGATTTACGAATAGAAGAGTTGGTTCGCCGACCGACAACCTGTCTTCAGCCCGATCGACACTGAATGAGACAGGGCTGCACCTTGTCTGCGGGCGAAAACGTCGCACCACGATGAAGCCATCGTGATTGCGACTTGAGTTGCGCCCAGTCCCAAGAACCAACGGCCTGGTTTGATTGGGAGGATAGGTTGCCTGTACTCGTCGTACAGTAGTTGCTCTCAAAAGTTCCTCGGCCGAGAGCTGTCTTACTTTGCCTTACCAGATCAAGGTCGTCCGAGGTCCCGACTGCATGGGATGACTGAAGGCCGGCGGAGACCCGCGAATCTAAGGAAAGAGATATGCGCCATCTCAGGCTTGAAAGATGCCAACGGCGACAATGGCGGAAGCTCTTGCGCCTTGAGAAAAGGTTCCGTACCACCCATGCAATGCACCAGGGATCCCTCTGCGTTGAACTTGATGCCCCGTCTGCAGGTTCGCAGTGACTGGGACTGATCCCGGTGGGTAGCCGGGAGGTGGAGGTGGCATTCGTTTCCGTCCGTTCCCCCCAATACAGGAAAAGAAGTGAGGATGAACCACAAGAGGGCCGCAGATAGGCATCTTGCCGTCCATGTTTGTTCATGGAAAGCTCATGTATCCGAACATTCTCTGTACTGATGTGGCCGGGGTATCTTGCCTCGATCCTTCTCATGTTCCTTCTTGTTCATTCTGCTCTTCGTCATCATGTCTCTCATCCTTCCTGTCTCACGTTCGGCTGGGTAAGCCACCCAATGCTGGCAAGTAAAGACGCACATCGATCCCTCAACGCCTGGGAACCTTTGATATCGGCCATGTCGAATGCAGAAGGTAGAGATGTCTGCCGCCAGGGTTGCACTGCACCCTCCGGCTGCACGTCCAGACGAGGGGGGCGGCTGGAAGTCCAGCCCTGAACATGATCACCCATGCCACATCACCCCTGCCTTCTAAAGAGGAAGCTCTGTCCATCCCAGCCTATGCCGTCGCAGCGTCGAGTCCCATCTTGGGGGGCAAGGGGTCCTTTCCTGAGGATCGTCTTGTGGCAACCCCGACTGTCACCATCGTCCTGCCCGTTCGTTGCCAGGCGGTTGGAACCCCCGGGTCCCACTTGTCGATAAGCATATGGATGGCGAGCTTGGGTCGGTCGCCCTCGTGGCACTGGATATTAAAAGGTCTTGATGTCCTCGTCCCCTCTATCCCCGTTTCTTCTCGTTTCTCGGTCACTGGCATATTTCCAGCCCAGAAGTCAACGGGTCCTGCAGATCAGCCCCTCCGTACCTTACTCAAGGTGAAGAGTCCTGACCCAGCGCAACCATGTCCGAAATCCGTGAACAACGGCCCGCCGCCCAGGGCGGCGTGGTCTCCAACGAGAAGGCCGAGCCCGTAAGTACAATGTCTCTAGGAGGCTCACTTGAGCCTCAACTCACAGGACGGTGTACTAAGTCGCTTGACCTAGTTCGTCGACGCTCATCCCGAGGGCACCGACTACAACGAGCACGTCGAGAAGGAGCTCAACGTCACCGAGGACGATCTGCTTGAGGCCAAGGAGCTCGCTTCGCAGTTGTCTCTGGAGGAGGTTCGCGACATGATGTTCAACGTCCACAAGATCCACGAGAAGGACCCCAACTTCCCGCTCGTCATTATCGAGAAGATTGAGGCTTTCCTCCAGAACGACGACGTCTTCGAGAACCCCGAGAAGCACGAGACTCTGATCCAGGAGATGAAGCTTGAGGCCGCCCTCATCACGGGCAACTCGCCCTACTCTGAGGTGCGCGCCGTCGTCGACAACCACGACGACCCCACCATGCCTTCATCGACCATTCGTGCGTGGGTTATCGGTCTGCTCTTCTCCGCCCTGCTCGCCTTCGTGAACCAGCTCTTCTCCGTCCGCTACCCATCCATCACGATTTTGGCCAACGTTGCCCAGCTGCTCGCTTACCCCTTGGGCAAGTTGTGGGAGAAGGCTCTTCCCGACGTCGGCTTCACTGTCTTTGGCTCCCGCATCTCGCTCAACCCTGGCCCGTTCAACCGCAAGGAGCACATGCTCATCACAATCATGGCCAACGTTGCGTACAACATCCCGTACACCAACTACATCATCTGGACTCAGGTAGGCTTCTCCCCAGTGCAACTTTGCACCTTGACGATGAACCTCAACTAACAGCACTCTCCAGTGGCTCCCCCAGTTCTTCAACATGCCGTACGCCGCCAACTTCGGCTACCAGCTCCTCATCTCGCTGTCGACCAACTTCATCGGCTACGGTCTGGCCGGTCTCTGCCGTCGTTTCCTCGTGTACCCTTCGTACTGTGTCTGGCCCGCGTCTCTGGTGACCATCGCCCTGAACGCCGCCTTCCACAGCGACAAGAACAGCACCGTCGACGGTCCTTTCCGCAGTGTCTGGAACCTTAGCAGACAGAAGTTCTTTTACATCGCTTTCGCTGCTATGTTTGTGTGGTTCTGGTTCCCCAACTACATCTTCACGGCTCTCAGCACCTTCAGCTGGATGACCTGGATCGCGCCCAATAACCGCAACCTGGCCACCATCACCGGCTTCAATAGCGGTCTTGGATTCAACCCCTGGCCCACTTTCGACTGGAACATCCTGTGAGTACTGCCATTGGGATTGATTCACGAGAACACTTACTAACGGGCGCAGTCTCTTCGACAACACGGACCCCTTGATGGTTCCCTTCTTTTCCACCTTCAACAAGTTCCTCGGAACTCTCATTTCCGGCTTCGTCATCATCGCCGTCTGGTACACCAACACCTACAACACCGGATACCTCCCCATCAACTCCAACAAGGTCTACGACCACTTCGGCAAGCTGTACAACGTGTCGCGCGCTGTTAACGAGCACGGCCTCTTCGACAAGGAGGCCTACGAGGCCTACTCTCCCCCGTTCCTGGGCGCCGCCAACACTATGATCTACATGTTCTTCTTCGCCATCTACACCGCCACCATTACCTACGCCATCCTCTACCACCGACATGAGATCGCCCTCGGCTTCAAGGCTCTGATCGGCAGCTTCCGCAAGAACAGCGACATCGAGAAGGACCAGGTCCTCGACGTCCACAACCGTCTCATGAAGGTCTACCCCGAGGTCCCTGAGTGGTGGTACCTCCTCACCCTCATCGTCGCCATTGCTCTCGGCTGCGCCGGTATTGCTGCCTGGCCCACGTACACCACTGTCGGTGTCGTCTTCTACGGTATCATTCTCTGCTTGATTTTCGTCGTCCCTGTCGGTATCATCAAGGCCATGACTGGTATCGAGGTCACCCTCAACGTGCTTGCTGAGTTCATCGGTGGTTCCTGGGTTGAGGGCAACGCCCTGGCCATGAACTACTTCAAGTCCTTCGGATACGTCACCTGCGCCCACGCTGTTTGGTTCTCCAACGACCTTAAGCTTGCGCACTACGTGAAGATTCCCCCTCGTCATACTTTCTGGGCTCAGATGGTCGCGACGCTCGTGTCTACCCTCGTGTGTCTCGGCGTCTTGAAGTTCCAGATGACTAGCATTCCGGGAATCTGCACTGCCGATGCCAAGTTCAAGATGACCTGCCCTGGCATCAACACCTTCTTTACCGCCTCTGTCCTTTGGGGTACTGTCGGTCCCAAGAAGATTTGGGGTGCCGGTGGCCAGTACACCGAGACCCTCCTCGGATTCCCTCTCGGTGTCGCCGTCGTCCTCATCTTCTGGGGTCTTGGCAAGGCCTTCCCCCGCTGGAAGTGGATCCGCCAGATTCACCCCGTCGCCATGATGTACGGTGCCCTCGTCTGGGCTCCCTACAACATGTCCTTTGTCTGGCCCTCCGTGCCCATTGCGTACTTCTCTTGGGTGTACCTCAAGAGCCGCTTCCTTGGGTTCTGGTCCAAGGTGAGTTTCCTTACCCCCTCTTAAGTATCACGCTTGCAGTCACTGACCCTCTCCACAGTACAACTTCGTTCTCTCCGCTGCCTTCTCTTGCGGCATTGCCATCTCCGGCATCATCATGTTCTTCGGCCTTCAGTGGCAAGATATTGAGGTTGACTGGTGGGGTAACAGCGTTGTGTCAGAAGGCTGCGAAGGCCTGGCTTGCCGTCTCAAGACCCTCGCGGACGGCGAGTACTTCGGCCCTCGCATCGGCGACTTCCACTAAGGAACCCCGTCGTTTGCGAATCTCGCGGCCTGGCCGTCGCGGTTGTGCTTTTCGTGTGTTTTCAGCGCATGTAAGATGTGATGACAAAGACTTTGAAGACCAGAAGGAGCGTGGTGGGATTGGCGTAATTTGGTGAATGTAATGAGACAAAGTATGAAGATGAATACCCCCTAAACACTCTTTTGCATCTACCGGAAGATTTCAAAGAGTAATTTTTCTCTTCCGATCTGAACCTCATAACTCTCTTTTGAAATCAAAGGTGCGACTGATCATTCGGCTAGGTATGATGTGAGGTGACCGTGCTTTGATCGTGACCAGTGACTTTCATGGAAGCGACGCCTGGCATGGCGACGTTGCTTGTCTCGTCGTGATCTGAAGGGCGCGATTGGGCAAGTTGGTTCCCGCAAACCCTGTCAGGATTGAGATCTCGTTTACAGGCCGGGCTGATTTCTTTGATTGTCGGACTTCTTAAGGCGGAAAGCAGTAAAACCTAGCCATGCCGTCACGAAGCTGAAGGTTGGCGGTGTGTATTAATATCATCTTCGAACCAACATCGTCCCCGCAACGGTTGCCGGCTCGGTGCCGCACCGGCGTGGCTGTGCCTGATAGCTCGGCGATCTGGTATGAGCCATGCATACTGGGGGTAGTACGGGTGGTTGGTGACTGGCTGCAAGAGAGGCCTAGAGATTAGGTTGTGGAGTATTCAAGATACCTGAACATCGTTTTGGGGGAATCCTCGCCTTTTCAGACAAGTCCACCTTGGCGCCAGCAGGCGTGAGGATAGGTTGTGTTTGAGTCGGGAAATGAAGTTGCTGAGCGGGCTGTGGTGTGGTGACCACCGATGGAGCCAACGCTTGTGTAACGTGAGATGTGCGGAGCAGCCTTTCAAGATGGCAGCCTCCGAGTTATAGAGACCCGGCGGTAAGATGAATATAGAAACAAAGTTTTTCCTCGATCAAGTAATATTTCCAGAACAGTCTAGTCTTATCAATACCGCAATTTCGACCGGCTCTGACGGCACAGCTGACAGGTCTGAAGTTCGCCCGGCTTACGGCACGGAAAGCGTACTCGAATCTGCCTGCCAGTCACCGAAACAAAACCATTTCTTGGCTAGGAACATTTCCCGTTTGAGAAACAAATGCTCGCCAGACTAGACTGTCTTTATTAACATCCATCCTTTTTCTCCCTGATTAGAAAGAGACCGCCTAATTTTCTTGTGTCTGGGCGGCTACATTACCTGTGGACTTCGTGACTTTTATATGGACGAGGACGATAATAATAGACGATGACTACAACGGCAAGAATAATGGCGCGCACATAAAAAAAGTAGTCGTTTCAACATAAGCAAAGTACGGGGTCTGATTAGAAAATGTTGGGTAGCATAGCCTGCAACTAACGCACTGTGGCCACCTCGACCAGCCAGTCGTGAGCTTCAGCTATGACGCCTATAATTCAGGTGGTCTTCTTGAGATTATGCTCAAGATGAAAAGTTTCTCGTCTTCCGTCTCTTGCTTTAAGTGGCATTTTCAATGTGCCACATAGCGGGCTATCGCTGCTTGGGGAGCTGTAGAAACCTTGGAATTTACGCCAGTAAAAGAGACAAACGCCCATCACCTGTAATGAGAGAGCCTGAAAGGCCATTACCAGGAAGCTTTCAAGCAAAAGCCGTCGAGAAGAACCTAGGCCGCGCGACGCAGCGTAGTTAGACCAGCAGGCCCACAGCCCAGGAAACATCACAAGAACCTGCAGCTTAGCAAGGTACTCCGCTCCTTGTATTTTACAGTACCTCTAAGAAGCCTGAGTTGGTCTGCAATGATGTAAAGAACCAAATTTAGCTGGAAGGTACATTCGTACTGGCTCAAACTATTGTTACGGTAGTTCTGGAAGATGCAAGCTCATCAGCGCCAAACTCCTTCACGTCCTGAATGATTGCGCCGATTCTTCTCATACAGCCTGGCCGGTCCATTGCTGGAGTGACATAAATCCCGTGAGCGCAGGGGTTCTTCCGCTCAGGATCCGGGTCTCCCGGTACGCCATACGCGTAAGCTAATATCAATGCGTAAACTTCCATTGATCTGATGAGATCTGCGCTGGCCTCATAGTTTCGGTCGATGGTATCAAGCATGCCGAAGCAATCATCGCCTCCCTTCTCGCTTCGGAACAGCATGTGACCTGTGGGCCCCTTGGCCTCGGAGAGTGACATTTTGACCAGGGGCGCCTCGAGCGTGATCCAGCCGTCCTTTACACGGCCAAAGGGGTTGTCCCCGTCGATTTCAACCTTGACTTCCAGAATGTTTGCTACTTCCTCCGTCACTCCAAGTAAGCCGGTCGCCGGTATTCCGTCGACTGCGGCCCAGGACCATGAGGGTGCACGGTATTGACCGACTGGCTTGCAACGCAGAGCCTGCCAGCATAAGCATTCGATCAAGGACCCACGCCAAAGTCCAGCCAAGTATTCATCCTTGAAGCTCTTGCTTAAGGACTTGGCAATGCCAGAGAATGCTGGAAGCTTGTCCAAAGGATTTGTCAACTCTCTCGGACCGTACTCGCGGAGGAGTTCGTGCCAATTTCCTATCAGTTTGGAGTTTTGTTCGTACCCTTCATATTTAGGCTTTATGGGTTGGGCCATTTTGTGACGCTGGTCTCGGTACTCCACAAGCTGAGTGTTATCGCTGACGAAGGGTAAACGGTATTTCAGCTTCAGTCCTTGCTCTGCTTCAAACCCTTCAAGACATTCCCAATACATCTGCTCGCTTGCGAAGTGCAAGATTCTGCGGGCCAGGATGCGTTCCTGAAACCCCCAAGCTCTCTTCATGAGAGGCTCCTTTCTCATCCGGAGGTGAAAATAGTGGATAGTGTCCAGATCGAGGGCCAACGCCGTTGCCAAGATATAGTGATCCGGAGAAGAACCTTTCCGTAGAAGTTTGAAATATTCTCGCGGCGTCCGCGCCGACAGCAAACCTCCGTTCGTATCGGGAGACTTTACAGCAGCAAGGGTGAGATAAGAGTTCGAGTAAACGGCGGCCATTTGCGCCGACTCCCGTTCCCAATCATTCAGGTCATCCTGGCAGATACACAGACTGTCGATCCAAAGGTACCTCACTCCGACCATCCGAGTCAGAGTTACAGCGTCTCGGAGAGTTTGCGGGAGTTGATCGATTTCAATGCCGTTTCTTCGAGCCTGAATGGTCTCACTGGTAGTAACAAAGTGTTTCTCCCCTTTTCCCCAACAGTAACTGAGGGTAACATAGCGGTCACAGAGGTTAGGGTCCGGCTGAACTAGTTTAATAATTGACCCAGAGTCCGATGTGCCGACATCTAACAGGCGAGTTGGCATTGGAGCGTGCTGCGCTTTGCAGTGCGGGTGCTCATCGCAGGCTTTGAGCCACTTGTGAATGAGATTCAATGTAGTTTGGTTTGGAACCTCTGCCAAAACACGATCGCTAGAGCCGACGGAGTGAGGATCATCTATCAGTTACTTCTGTTAGTCACGAGACGCGACCAGAGCGTCCTGGGAGTCCAGATACTCACCTTCATCAGAAGCAAAGCCAATTGATGCCACAGGCACCAAGTAATGGCGATCCTGGTCTCCAACGCTGCCGCAAACAACCCAGAATCCATCGCCGCCGGACTCGCCACGTTGAGTCAACCACATGTTCCAGTCAGGGAGCTGCTTGTACATCCCCATGTTTGGATATTCTAGTGTCTTAATCTCCTCCAACAGCGCATCTGCCTCCTTCTCAATTGCTTGACAAAGCACGCATCCATTGCTGGCTGCTTGACGAAGCGAAGCAAGATCGGGGTGGTATGGAACGCCCAAACACGGAATCGGTTTACCTTTCTCATGATCGTCCAAAACAATGTGGTGGAATCTTGGTTTCCCGCTTAGAGTTCTCGTGGTCTTGTCGTCAGGGAAGGGGGGCAGATCTTCCAATGGAAGAGACTGGCAGAGGCTGCAGAGAATCATGATGCTTAAAACCCTGCGAACGATGTGAGATGGAATCAAAGTCGAGAGAAGACACAAATAAGAGTATTTAGATCACGGAACTACTACAGTTGAAATAGCATCTAGTTGTCCAGCTCTAGTGGCGATAGACACGCGGATCATTCCTGTCTCGTGCCGTCAGCAGTGTCCACTATTCACTTGGCTAACGTGAGGGCGCCGTGGATGCTTACAGGCTACGCCTGCTGCCTGCATATCTGCCTCGGCGGCTTCAACCTCCAAAGATCGACGCAAAAGTGTGGAAGACCATTCTTCTTCGCATACCTACTTATGTGTGCTCCCCTTTACTGCGCTGGCTATGAAGAGACACTATGCCGAGAGCGCATCGCTAAACAAGTTGAATTATGATGTTTGTTATCATTTCTCTCGTCTCCGCCAACTCTGTTGTCCCTGTTTCCGAGTCGTCCTTGCAACTCTCCGTCCGAACGGCAAGACTCTACCGAGAAACCGGAACTTGAAAATACCAGGATGGACGGGGAAAAAGCCAGACACCGACAGAACAGGCAGAAAGGCAGCCAGGCGGCCGCTTATTTGCGCGCCAAGGAAAGAGCTGAAGACACCCTGTGCGCCAGGTTGCCGTTTTGCTGCCTGCAATTGGGCAGTGCAGGGTTGATCGCTGGTGCCATCATGCCTAAATGCTGACAGACAGTAGGCGAACTAGAGGAAAGGGACTTTGGTTTCTCAACGTGTCATTTGGCAGTGCACACACAGCCATGGGTTATGGCGGCTACGTCTCCTGAATTCAGTCTGCTCTTCATATTGAACGTTCTTGTACATTCTCGAAGGCCAAGTACCACTATCGCCCCCTGGGTGGTCATGTACCAATTAACTTGTCTCATACCCCGGAGCCTTGCCATAACCTCACGTCTTACCAATACACTGGAGTCGACATCATGAGCGCCGAGACTTACGACTGGTGGGCGCAAACAAGCTTTAATTAAACCATGGATGCATCTAGCCTGATCTAGCGCCCGTTGCAAGGGCTTTCTGGACCCCACGTTCTTAAATACCGTGTTCCTGCGGCACAGTTACCAATTTCCTTGGTCTTGAGCAACCGGAAGGGTTGTTTAGCTCCTGTCATCGTTGCCGTGTCGGCGGAATTTTTAGGGATTCGATCGTTTTGCAAGAGTAAAAAGGATCTTCATGCTGGATTGCCAAGACATGCGATGTCTCCTTGCACGACCATCCATCAAATAAGCCAGACGGCGTGGTGCTCCGTACTGAACCTAGCGAGTGGGAGCCGGAGAGATGCAGCCGACACTTAAGGTATGGAGACCTATTCATCTCTTACCCCCAGGGGCTTGAAAGGTAAATTTCTGACTTCAAGTTTGTCGATGTCACATACGGTCTTTCGGATTCTGGTTTCTTGCCCATTCCCACCCGTCGCATAGTCAGAAGGATTTGCCATGGATCAACCACGACAGTCTGCCCAACCAGGACTCGAGGTCACGTCACACTATGACACCACTCCAGTAACTCTCGAGGCCCACCACTGGACATCACCATCACAGAACGGTTCGGCTCCAAGTCACGACACATCTCACGAGCAAAAGATACTAGTGGGTTATGGGTACGAGTCAACGGCACACAGCAACGGATATGCGGGCGCATACTACCAGAACGAAGCAGGAAGCACAGCTTAAGATAAGGTAAAGCGCAGAAGGCCTTGGCTGCTCATCGTACTCGGCGGAGTGGTGACGTTCGTTCTTGCAGGTGTTGTAGGCGGTATAGCAGGCTGGAAGATCACATCCAACCAGAACTAAGAGCCAGCCCTAACTTTCCCAGGCTCTGACGATAGCACGCCATCAACGAGCGCAACCAAGATAGTACTGAATTCAGGGCTTGCAGCTGTTGGTTATCGTTATGGAACTGATATCACCCTATACGTCTGGTTTCAAGGACCGGACTCTTTGTTGAGACGGTTGTAGTATATAAGCATCTACCAAAACTGGACTGCACCATTGGAAGTCGACGCAGCGCCCAAGGTGGGCTCGCCCTTTGGGGCTAGTCAGTTCTGGACGAAGCCAGATGAAGTATGTGCCTCTTCACGTCACGCCAAGTTATAGGTGCTAATCAACGAAGCAACTTCCGGTCATCCCCCAAGCCGAGCTGTTTTACGTTGGATCAGGGGAAAAGATATTGGGCGTGAACTGGCGAGAGGGGTTCACACGTGGAGGCCTAAGTGACAGCGTCAACAATGGAGGATGGACAGTCGGCAACACCGGTACCCAGATGGCTGCTTACTGGCCCTCGACCATTCTTCAAGCTTCAAACGGGGATGTTATGGAAGTCTTTTTCAACTACAAGTCACCCGGATTTCAAGAGCCCAAGAGAGTCGGTATCACAGCTTCCCCTGGCTCCGCGCTGGCCATTCTACCCCGAGAAACTACCCACTCCGCTGGCGATCAAACCGCAGCGTCTAGTGCGCGTATTGTCTACCGCGATACCACTGGACGCCTGAAGAACTTTGACCGATCCTCAGGCGGCCAGTCTCTCACGTCTTCGGGCGAGATTCCCGTTACGGTCGATTCAAACTTTACGATGGCTGCCTTCGCAGTCGCGAGGGGCGAAGTAGGCGGGCAGAAGTCAACGGCCGTCAACACATGGATCTTGTATCAGGATTCCAAAACTGGAAAGATCTCATACGTTTATGAGAAAGACTCTGAGGGGTGGAAAGGCCCAGAAACGGATCCGGTATTCGAAGGAGCTGATAGCCCAACCCACCTCGCATGCATCACGGCTGCATCATCCACGATCCCCGAGGTCCCATTGGAGGCGGCACACGATTTGAGCCATTGCTTCTTTCAATCCGGACGCAAGTTGAAACATGTCCGCTTTGATGGCAGTTCGTGGACGGATATGGGCTTCATACCCATACCTTGAGGAAGCATAGCGACGACGAGGACGATAGCGATCACACAGAGGTATGGTGGGGTTGACGTGATGCTTTGGCAAATTCTTCTACCATGGTAGAATTACAGGCTCGCATAACAGAGCTTATGAAGTGAGCGAATGTGAATTATAATGAGACTTTGGGTTCAACGTATCTGAACTCCATCATGGATATGGGACATGAACAAACAGTAGCTTTGCTATCCGGGCCGTGTACGTAATTCAAAATTATTATCACCCGCCATCATCCCTTTTATCCTTGACGTTATCCTCTTTCTCGTCCCCGTCGTCGTCCCCGTCGTCGTCCCCGTCGTCGTCCCCGCAGTCGTCCCTGTTGCCGTCCCTGCTACCGTCCCTGTTCGTCCTCGTCCATCTCTGATCTCTGTGGCCGTCCCTCTTGTTGTCTACCGGCCCCTTCCGGGAGGATAGCCAAAGTCATAATTAGGTTTTAGAGAAGACAAAAAAGCCTCCCCATTGTTGTCAACTATGATGCCGTATCCTCAAGAATAGAAGAACCGTGTCTCGAGTCAGTGCCCATAGCCTCCTCAGGCATTGTCCTTCGGGGCCAGGCTGACACTCAGGTCTTGGGCGCTGTAAGTTCCCAACGATATAAAGCTCCTCAATTCATGTGAGCCATCGGGGGAGACAATGTTGCCGTCGTCGTCCACGGTCATAACCTTGCTAGGGTGAAACGCGGCTAGGATGAATGTAACCAGGAAGATGAGAGTAGCATCAAAGATGTAGAGAAACACCTCAGTTGTTTGCAAAATAAGGTAAGACACTATCAGTAATCGAAAATGACAAGTCCGAGCTAGAAGAAACTCAATATCCATCATAACCTTGGATATACTCAATGACGCGAAATAGCGAACGAACAAGGACTAGTACGCTGACGCCGTACAAGATCTAAAACAACTTGTCCCAAGAGACGGCGTGTCTCAGACGTTGCCCTCGGATTCTAGACTCTTGAGAAATGCGCCGGTGAAAGACTCCAGTGACGGCGATGAAAAGAGCAAAACCAATGAGCTGAATGAAAAGGCCAACGATGATGACATTTTCGCCCAGTTGAATCTTGCTCGGCGACTTGGCATTTGTGAGAATACCTCCACCTCCGCTTTGCACCAAGAATGACAAAATATCGCTCGTGATGAACACCTTTGTAAGAATCTCAGGCCTAACGGGACTATAGTCGCGTCCATTTGCTAGGATGGTCAGCCGACCTAGCATACCGTAGATGGATGCTGCCAACAGCGAAGGGGCGATGAGTAGCATCAAGGACTGCAGCGCGTAAGGCGTAACCTGCCAGTTTGGTGTTTGGGCTACCGATATAGCAAGAGGCACATAACCCAGGATCTCGCAGACGATGCCGACTATGAATGGGACGAAGTAACGAGTTTGTTTCTTGTAACATAAGATCATGTGCGCGGCGAGGGTGAAAGAGAATAGGACGATGAAAACGCAGGCTGCAGCCATCGATGGGCCGTATAGATAGAGAGATGCCATAACCTCGCTGTCGCGTCGGTGAAGTGTTGATGCCATGGTAGTTCAATCGAACCAGAGTGTGAATGAGGTATACAAGTTTGTTTCTGGTGATTGATCCAACAAGCTAAAAATGTTGCGTCTTAGGTTTTTTATCTCACTAGTCTTTTACAATAGAAATATTTCTTACCACATGCACCACAGATAATGTCCAGACATCGCCGGCTTCAATAATCAATGGTGGACTCAAATGCACTCCTTTCCGCCATAGCCAACTCAGCCTAAAGTCTAAAACAGCATCATGTTGGCATCCAGACAGGGTTGATTATGGTCGGCGGATGATGTTCACTTGGTCCATTATGCTCTCAGATCATTACGTTCGTTTGCTTGAACGACAGGCTCCAGAGGCTTTGGTTGTATTGGCTCGTTATGCGATCTTTTTGCATTTCGGGCAGAACTTTTGGCAGATCGGGGACGCTGGATCATACCTCCTTCGTTCAATTAATAACCATTTGGGACAAGCGTGGCAACCATGGCTCTCGTGGCCGGAGGACGTAGACCTTTAGAATGATTTTAGACAGAGAAAAGTTCTTAATTATGGAGTCGGGATGCGCCAACGATGCATTTGTTATATAGATCAGGTAGACTTTACACGCCAACACAATCTTGACAATTGAGCTGGCCCATGTGCTTTAGACATCGAGCATAAATTACAAAGAAATGACAGGACGACGAGGATGACAGACTTTGTGCGTTCTGTCTAGTCATCCCAAAGTTGTCACACGGTGATAATTCAACTAGCAAATGCTAACCTCAACGGAATAGTTGGGTGATCCTGGATTCCGGGTGAGCTCACTACGTTCATGCGAATAATCCTGGGACAGACACTGGCGTATTCGGATTGTGTTGACGCGACGAGTAAACTTGCCTGAATAGGTGCACCTCTCGGACTCCTGTGGCGTTCAATTGGGCCATTTCCGATGCTGACATTACCTAGTACCTTAGCTAGCGGGCGCCCCTTCTGTGTTGCTAATCGACCAGACATAAAACATCACACAATTCACAGCAGGTGCGGGGTTCTCTTTCTACTCGGCGTAAGCGAAGTTCCGCGTCTTCAGGCAGCCGCCGGAGTTGGAGCGGGCAGGCATAATCGTCATTCTCCACCCGGACCGCCAATCAACTTCATCCCGTTCACCAACCTCCCGGAGCAATGTGGCCTGTCGCCGTGTCCGCCACCGTGTCCTCCGCGCCCGGAGTCTACGATATCCCTCAGAAACTTATAAAATCGTGCCGTCGCGTAGTTATCAATACACCATCATCCCACCCTTCCTCGGTTCAGACTTCTACAGCTTACTCAACATGGCCGCCTCTCTCGACGCAATCCTTGCGAGGAACACGCCTGCTCCCGATCAAGATGCAGATGGAAAGGTTCCCGGTGCCGCATTTATCGTCGTGAACAAAGATGGTATCCATTTCACCTACCTTTGATTCATATGCCGTTCCTGACCCAAAGTCTAGGCGTCCTTTACAATGGTTCAGCGGGTCGCATCGACCCTGCCCTTGGGTCTCGCCCGTGGAGCGCCGACACTTTTACCCACGTGGCATCTTTGACGAAGATTATCACCGCTACTAGCATTATGCAGCTCGTGGAACGTGGCTTAGTAGATCTCGACGCCGACATGAGGGAACTCGTTCCGCGATTGGGACAAATGCCCATCTTGAGAGGCTTCACCGAAGATGAGAAGCCTATCCTCGAAGATCACGACGTACCAATCACTCTGAGGTATTCAGCAGCATCTCTTCTATCCTACATCCTGAATGATAACCTAAGACATATGACAGAATGCTCCTCACTCACACCATTGGTTTGAGCTATGACGTTATCGAGCCAGACCTGATGAGATGGCACAATGCTGTGGGCCGCAAGGCGACAAATCTGGACTGGAGCCTGGATGGCTTCCATACGCCTGTGCTTTTTAAGCCTGGCGAAAGCTTTTACTATGGAACAGCGATTGACTGGGCTGGTCAAGCGTTGGAGAAAATTACCGGCAAAACGCTCGGCGAGTACATGTCCGAGAACATATTCGACCCGCTCGGCATGAAAGACACGGGCTTCTGGCCGGAGAAGTTGCCCCACACCGCCGACCGGACCGCCACATGGTCCTACCGAGGCGAGGATGGATCCAGTATCGCCCCCGGTCCGCAGATGTATGCCAAGGAACACCCGGTCGAGAGCGGCGGCGCAGGTCTCCTGACCACCGCTCAGGACTACAGCAAGTTCCTCCACGCGCTGTTGACAAACCAGATTGTGAAGAAGGAGACAATGGATGAGATGTTCCGTCCGCAGCTAAACGAGAAAACTGCGCGAGATTCGCGGGAATTTGCGAATAAGTGGTTGACCGCGGTAGAGTTTGACCCTGAACTCAAGCTCAACTACGGCCTTAGTGGATTCATCAACATGGAAGATGCCGAAGGAAAGCGCAAGAAAGGCAGCATGGCGTGGAGCGGCATGTGCAATAGCCATTGGTGGATGGACAGGGAGTCGGGTATCGCAGCGGTACTGGTCGTACAGCTCATGCCGTTTGGTGATCCAACCTTCGTCAGATTATTCGATGAGCTGGAGCGAGCAGTCTACAGTGATTTGCTTGCAACGGCTTAGCTTGGAGTTGAGTTGGCGACGTTGCCATTCTCTTTTAGATCCTGAAATGTTTCCTACATCGACCCTACCAGAACCTGCGCTGTATTCAAGTAGGGTATCTCATTAAGCTCGTCGTCCATTATCATAATGCTATGCTAAGTGTCCCGTCTATCACCTGACTCTAATTGCCGTATGTTCTCATCAGCACCCTTCCGAGCCCATTCCGGTGACGAAGGACCCGAAAACGTCGGCGAAGTAACCTTGGTGTACCAACTATCAGGTCTCCCCGATTCTGGGTTTCGCAGTGGTATCGACTCAATCCGGCTCAGCCTTTCAAACGGAAAGACGAAGTCTCTCGGCTCATGCATCACCTGTGTTCCTTGTGAAACCTGCTCGGAGGGGTTCACCGACGAAGACTCCATGCCCAGCTCACTAGTCCTCAAGACGCCTGTCAGGTGCTGCGTTTGAAGCTTGCTTCCTTTCAAAAACTTCAACTCAATGGGCGCAAAGAAATTTCTCGTGGCCCGGCTTGAGTTCGGTGTAAAGTCGCACCGGCGCATTACCAGAATGTTGACAGCTGGGAGGCACGCGCAGATCATGCCGATACTTACTTCGGCTGTTCTGATATTACGGTTAGCTGGATCTCCAGAGGAATCCGAGCTAGTATTTAGGGTAACTAACCCGAGAAGATTGAAACGGATGAAATCCACCGGCTCATCGTTCGACTTTTGCAGCTGTACCACGAGAATCATGCGGACAATGCTCGCCGCCGTGGCTAACCCTCCCGCACTAAGCATGGCGAGTACCTTCAGTCTCTTCGACCAGGACATTCTGAGCGTTACGGCTACGGGTATCGGGATAGTCAGAACTGCGAGGTCGGTCACGGCGCTGACGGCCGTATCCGCGACGAATACGGCACGCTGGTTGAAGCAGTCCGCCGGTAAGTCCGGATCCCAGAAGCCGGCGATGGGACGGCAGATTAGTGTCTTTATTACGAGGACAGGCGCGTAATATCCAATCATGAATACGATGACGGCGTAGGTAGCTATCACAGTCTTCTTGTAGGTTCTGAAAACCCTCGTAACGATGAGAAGTAGGGTGAGCTTGGTGAAGAAGGAGTTTGGGCCGTACACGAGGGTGTCGGCGTACAGCCCCAGAGAGGAGTTCAGCTACTACGATCAGACCTGAGGGGGTTCGATTCATGATTACCTTCTTGAATCCGACGAGGTTCTCCTTCGATATTTCGTAAACGTGATATCCTCCACCAAAGTGTTGCACTGTTGTCTTGTCAGTGAGATACTCGATGTTGACCATTTGGTAGTACTCACTCACGAGGGCTGTGGCACTGTAGGCGATGGATAGAACCTGTTCAAAATCAGGTGATGTGTCTTCAAACATGCTTGATAGGGAGCTTCATACCCACGCCACGAGGGCCATCCCTGGAACATGTCAGCGCCAGCCAAAACTCAAGAAGTGCTAGGGTCTACTTGCAGTCGTCAATCTGAAATGGCGGTGTCAAGGCCCATTTCACATAGCAGCGAATCATCATAAAAAGGCTGACAGATATGATAGACAGTATCTGTGACACGAGATTGATGGTGTGCAAGACATCCGTTGGGTTTTCGAAGTTGGGCACTACGCCTTCCGGCGGGGGGGCCGCCCCCACTTGGCTAGACATTGCGCATCGGGTATGGGCGTGACTGGAACTCGTCGGGGTCGAGGAGGTATGACGGAGCAAGGCATGCTAGCAAAAGCGAATGTGAATCAGTTGGGATTTTGCTGTCGAGCCACCGAGTACGGTCGAGAAATTGAGCTTCGCGGTCGAAATCGGGTTGTGGACGTCGTGTTGACAGCAGTATGAAGGTGTGGGCGTCGCATTTATTTAGACAACCTGGAACGAGTTGGAGGGAGGCCCCAACTAAACCTTGGACTGGGAGATATGAGCGAGCAGCCATTTAGAAGTCAGCTAGTGATAATAAACCTTAAAGACAACTTAAAACGCTAATCACGGGGGATGCGGCCGGCTTCGGGACAAGCTTTCTGAGCGGGGGCGACGCCCGTCGTCGACGCCCGGATCGTGGCAGGGTACTTCACTCAGCTTGGAGGGCCCCGCGTGGGAAAGGCAGGATCTGTAGCAATGACAAGGGATGATGGAGATCGGCTATTGTCATGGCAATGATGGGTTTTGATACCGGGAATAAGCACCGCAACCATGGGTTTCAGGCGCAGATGGAAGATTACTTTGGCGTGGTCTAAGAAGCGAATTTTGCTTACCACAAGTCAGGACCCCAAGAGCTAGTCTGCAAAGATGCCCTTTCCCAGAGAGCGTTCGAGCCTGATATCTCAGTTGGGTAGTTGGGTGGCCTGTCCGCGACTCATTTCGTTGCAGGAGCTCTTTCGGATGGGTGGTCTGCGCTGATCAAAGACCGGTCTAGAGGTTCGAGTTGGCATGTGCCGGATCAGACTCCGACTGAGGACATTTGTGGTCTGGAGTATCGACTCTGACTCGTCGCGAGGGGAAAGTCATACCGAGCGGCCGGACGATGGGGATTGGATGCGGGGTTGCAACGCACAGCATATTGCCTACTCGTGGCCATGTTTCCCGAAGCTTTGAGGTTGCTTGATTCAGCCTGGGCAGACCAAGGGTGAAATCTGATTCACCGGTTGCCAAAACATGCCCACTGTAGAAGCTTCAAATCGGGATGGAACTGCCGTTTGCGGTCCTCGTGGTGAAGAGCTACTGTGCCATGTGCCGAACCAATGGCAACGCCGTTGTCTTGGAGTTCTTCTAGAATAATTCGAAGAAGAATGTTCCATCGGAAAGATTAGGCTGAAACTGTGGAAGCTATGACCAAATTGCCGTGGCAAGGTAAGATTAGTCGTTGATAGGGGCTAATGCGAGGTCGCGAGACCGAGGTAGTTGCTTGGCGGTCGAAATGGGATATTTACGGTAATATTCTCGGTCATTTCCTTCGGACAGGATGCGGCAAAACGTGAGAAGCTCACGGTAACTCCCAGTTATAGTGAATCCTTTCTTAGCTCTCGTCAACTTGGTTCAGGTAAAACCCAGTAGCCTGTGGAGAGTTTATCTAGAACGGCCCGTCCTTCTGGTTATGACATCTGCGCAGTTGAGGTTTGTCTTGCGCCAAACGTCCTTCTCCGTGATTCTCCCACCGGCCGGCTCGACTGCCGATCTAAGGTGAGACTTTGGACCTGAGGCAGGTGTTCTTCGTTACAAAACCATCATCGGCAGATATGAGAAGCTGGCCCTGCGCTGCCTCCTTCAAGTGTTTTGAACATTTCTTTGGGAAAGGCCCAGGCGTCACGCAGCGTTTCCCCATCATCATGACAGTCTTTGAGAAGACGAAAAATAGGCTAGTTCTGTCTCAGACAGCTGAATTTGGTGCAAGACGATCTCATCTGACCTTCATCTAGTCATTTCTATCAAGCCAATGCGCAAGACCCGCGTGCTTTTGAAAGAAATGACTCAAATCTCAGCCGGTGATCCCCATCCGGACATGTATGACTTGCCTCGTGCCAGGCAGATGTGGTCCAAGACGTCGTAAAATAGGGGTCTCATTAGTCATGCTCTGCCGTGACTTGTTTCGTGGACTTGTGCATACGTGAAAGCTTTTGAATGCTTCATCTGCCCTCCTAGTTGCTGATTAAGCGGCGCAAGAGAAGCCGCCGGGGTCGAAGCTTTGCCGATGAAATGCTATAGACGCACGGTTTGAACTTGACATGGGAATCTGGTTGATCTTGTGAAAACCTCCGATAGATTGACAAAAGAACGCCTCATTGATCTAGCCCTATTATCACCCCTGTACTTTTTGTCACACCTAAGATCTTGACAGTCTTATTTGTGTGTATTTTACAAATATCGCTGCGCTGCTGACTTGCGATATGATGCACCTCTTTCTTTAGTCCCGAGCCATGTTAGTCTTCTAAACCTTAGGGATCAGATTTCAAATATCTCATGACATGCGTGTAGTTGGAGGTTTGTCCTTTACGTCAGAGTGTCCCTATCCGTGATTCGCCTGTCGGCCATCTCGCAATGCAGATAACAAGATGTAAGGTCCCCGACAGGTCATCATACCCATCTCCAGCTGGTTAAGGCTCAACCCCTAGAATTATTCACGGGGGGCTCTATTCTTCCCTTCCACAAAGACAATATCATTCAAGATCTTTCCTAACGGTTTGAAGTACATTTGTAGGACAAGTACACGCTAGACGACTATCGTCCAATCTCTAGCTTTTCCGAGGCGCCTTCCCATGATGACGTTTACTTTCCGGGTCTGAAAACCGCTATGTTCTTAATGACGTGACCTTAACCGGCTAAGAGAATGGGTCACCTTGATGGGTATCACGTTTTCAGCTGAGATGAGACTGAAGAAGTGGTCAGATCAGCCTCCTTCAGCGGACATTATAATGCCTGGCTTTTATGGCGAAGATAGAGGTGGATTCAGCTTGTTTATGTTGGACCCGGACCACGCTGTGTGTTGCTTCTCAATTACGGGCGCAGAAGCCGGTAGGAGGCATTTAACGTTGTCTCCATGCGCGACGCCGTCTACGGCGATGAGCAGGGGTCGTGTATAATGGGAAGTCAACGGCGACATATTGTCAAAAGTCTCCCCTGTTAATGTCTTGCTTATTAGGAATGAACTTCGTTTAGAGGCAAATCGACGGATATCACTCGGCCTATTATGTATCTTCTTCTAGGGATTTCTCTAGGATATCCTCATCTTTAAGCTTAAAAAAGACTTGGCTTAGGAAGTATTGCTAGCTAGACTGGCGGAGACGAACGCTAGAGGTCTATCTGCATAGGAAAAGACTTAAGAGAAGAGCTTCCAACTATTATATAGTTAGAGTTCTACTATCTAGGCAAATACTTCTAGCTAACAGGGCAGACAAATACTAATAGCTTCACTAAGAGATAATTTCTATTATTACTATTACTATCTTTATCGTTGTTGTTATCCTTGTTGCCGTTGTTATTATCATCCGTCATCATCGTCCGTTATCATTATCTATCGTCGTCGTCCATCGTCGTCATCCATCGTCGTCGTTAGTCGTCGTCGTCCTTCATCATCATCGTCCGTCGTCATCCTTCATTATCATCGTCCGTCGTCATCCTTCATTATCATCGTCCGTCGTCGTCTGTTCTGTTATATTATTGTTGTTGTTATTATCTTTGTTAACATTGCTGCTCTATTGTTATTGTTGTTGCTCTTATCATTTTAGCTTCCCTATTATTGTGCTTGCTACTACTTGTGTCCCCTTAGCACTATCCGCCTGTACAGCTAGTAGTATCCAGCTAAATAGCAAAAGTCTGTAGTTATTAGGAGGTCCAGATACTAATTGATTTTCGTCTCTCTCTTGACAATGGGGAACTTATCCTTACCCTACCTTCAGCTCGCTGTACTTACCATACTCCGTATTATTTAGTTGATGACCAGGGAAGCCCGAATACCGCTCGCATGCCGTTCCAACACCAGTCGCACTCACACCGCAACCCGTCATGGTAATGGTTTTTGTCCACTAAGCGCGTGAAAATACACATAAGAATGAACCCCGGGATCGACCAATTCCGTCCTCACCCTCCCCAGCAATTTCTCAACCTCATCCGCCGTCCACCCCAGCCCTCTCGTCAGAGGCCCAATAGTCACAGCATGTAGTCCGTCGTAGATGACGCTCAGATTATACAACCCCACTGTTCTCAGAGACTTACTCCTCGTCCACCCGCCTACAGGCACCTTACGCATTTGGTGTCTGATGTTCGTGAACCCCGCAGCCGCAAGACGCGCCGGGTTGCGTTCCGCGGCGTGCATATCAACCCCGAACCGCGCCAGGCCCTGGCTGATGAGATTCACCATCTGAATGGGCGCAAAGTCATCCGGCATGGTCCCGTCGTCGCAGCCGTAGACCCAGCGCATTTCCTGTAGCTCGATCCAGCCTCCCGGTTTGAGCGTTCTAGAGCGTACGTCAGCTGACGAACTCGCGTGTGTGATTAGTGAGACGGAGGAGACGGTTACTTGTACGCTGACTCGAAGAGCTTCGGCCACTCTTGTATTGAAGGCGCCATGTTTCCCAGCCGGATGAAGTCAAACGAGTCGGGCTCGTGGAACCACTCTGCCTCGGCGTCGTCTACTACGAACTTGACGTTCGGGGGAACCCAGTCTGGCCATATTGGTGACAGATCGATCCCTGTAACTGCTGCTTCGGGGTACTCATCGCCCACTGCCCATCGTCAGCTCACTCACTCAGCTCTTCACTGCAGGCCTGGAGGAAGAGAAACAACGCCACGCACCATCAATAGCCCAGACCCCCGTCCCGGTCCCAATATCCAGCACCTTCTGCGGATTCCTCAAAGGCGCCTCATGCAACTTGCCGCTCATCATGTGCACCATCACAAGGTGCTTCATAAACTCCCTCTGCTGCTCACTATCGTCATTCGGAAAATGATACCGCCCCTCGCGGTAGCGATGATACCGCCGGTTGTTTTCAAACGCGTAGTCGCGGACGGACGGCGAAAGCGACATCGTCCCGGCGTGGAGGGACGGCGCCGGCGACGCGGAGGCGTAGCCGTCGTCGGCGTCCATCTCGAATGCGTCGATCGTCTCATCGTCGAAGGTTATGGGGGCTTGATGGGTTGAGTTTGAGGGTGCGGGGGATGCGGGGGCAGGTGCGGTGTGCTGGTGCGCCGCCATTGCAAAAGCCGGATCTTGCGCGTGGGCATGAATAGTTGCGCGCGCCGTGGCGGGTGGTCAAAATGAGAATGGCGGCGGTGTGAAGCCGGTTGACGTCGGTGATGTGGGAAGTGGGGAGTGGGAAGGCGTCGGTATTTCATTGTCCACCCGCGGCACATGGGACGGGACCCTGGCTATCGCAGGGGTGTCGAGGTAGCATGGGATGACGCCCGGGCGCTCTTGGTGTTGAGTGCTTGGGTGAGATGTGACTGTAAGCCGTCAGGTGCATCTAAATGTATGGGTTAGGTACGAGACTGTCGCTGTGAGATTCAGTCGAATGCTGTGGTCAACGGCTAGAAATTTGTCAAATGAAAATTGTGAGCGATGAAGATGGATCTGGGCCCGAGAAGTCGGTAGTGAGCATGTGTCGGCATCCCAGGCATCGGATGCTGCGATCCCGCTGCAGGAGACCTAACCCGGCATCTGTAGCGAGGTCAGATGCACTGCTGAGAAATCGAGATGCAGGCCGTCTCTGCAATTGAATCGGCTCACTTGCCGTAGTTAATATGAGGCTCACTCTCAAATGCTCGGCTACATAGATAATTCCATGGCCAACGTTTTGTCACTTCTGTCACCCAAGCATTCGACCACCATGGGTGGTCAAGCGGGGATTGAGACCGCTTCTCCACGGAACTTGTGACAAGATCTCTATTCAATCTCCAGAAACTGTGAAGTTTGATTTATTCTGCTGTCATTGTTTTACGTACCATTCAATCCGAGTAAGCCCGGTTGCTTCGGCGCCTGGCCCCAGCTACAGCCCCGCACAAGTGGGGCCCGTCCGCGTTGGATCCGTGCCGCCGCCGGCAACTGAGATGGCCGTGAGATTCCGCACTTCCTGCCGAGTCACATTAGGTGTAGGCGGGCTGCAGAGGGTAAGGCAGCCTGAAGAGAAGGAATACAGACAAGAGAGGCACGCCATCCATGATACAGTGCCTGGCTAGAGATATTATCCTACCCATGGAAGTAATGGTCAGTAGCATGTTGAATAAATTCAAGACTCCTCTTCCGCTGTCGCGTTACAACTGGCGTAAGTGGCAATGGACCTTTGTCTCCCAGCCGCAGCCGGGTTGAGCTGGAACGCACTCGGCTCAGCCTCACTCAGCTGGGCTGCATTTACACCATGGCTAACAAGCAACCTTTGCGCCTGAGCCACATTCAGATGACGGCTCTGCTCGCCCGTCTCGTAAGCAGCACGCCATTGCTGATGCCAAAGCTCGAGGTACCTTTTGTGTTCCTTCAACTCTTCCTCAGCCTCTGCACCTGCCGTAAAACGCATTCGATGAAATATCTCTGACCATATTCCTTCGTTCAAAACGAAGTTTCGATAGAATGGGTAGCCCCAGTCGTACTTCATCTGGTTGGCCATGTTTATGGCGTCTCGCAAAGCCTCCCTCCGGCCCTCAGGCGAGGCGCCGATGACTCTGCACAAAAGTTCTAGTCCCCGCTCACACAGCCAGTGAATGACAAAATAGAAGTTCACAACTTTAGCGGTGTAGGTTCCGTCATGGCCTCTTGCTAAATGGTGTAAGCCCTCGTCTACTACGATGCGGACGTAGAAGAACCCAAGCCAGTGCCAAACATCTTCCAGTGCTTCGAGCTCTGGCAGTGTGAGTCTCCTGAGAAACGGAATTTCGTCGGCATTCTTTCTGGAGGGGACTGGACGATTTCGCCACAAGGCGGCGTGGTGGTCGTAGTCAATGAGCGCCTTCGGGTCCCACGAGGGCGTAGTGGAAAATAACGCGACAAAGTCATCTTTGTTCCTGGGACTGCAGTGCCAATCTTCCAATCCCAGGAGAATTTTGATATCTCCTGGGAGATCAAGAAGAGCATAGACTTGGGACAACGGTTTGCAAATGTTCCAAAACCATCTCCCGTGATCCTTGGAGTATTGAAATGTGTCGCGTCCATCCGTATAGCGCGCGACGAAGTCGGACAGACTACCGAGAGTTTTGGGTGTTCCCGAAAGGTGACGGCGGAGGAACATAGCTCGGTATTCGCGAAAGACGAGCTGTATTTCCGGTGTCGACGTCACGAATGCTAGGATATCCTTCCAGGAGAGGGGACTGTTGCATTTGAATATCGCATCGATCATTTCGAAAAGAACTTCCGAAGGCAAGGGCGTGAAAAGGGTCTTGCGTGCAGGAGCGACACTTGGTCGCTCGTTGCCGTCTGGAATGACGGCATGTTGGAGCGAATTCATCATGCCGACTTTGATGAACGCGTGTGAAGGTTTAGGACGTCGGTCGTCTCGAGGAACCATTTGGCGGTGGATGAAGGTGAGTTCCAAAGTCCGGTCCGTGGTCTCGGGTTGTATCCGCCTCATATACCTGTTCCTCGACTAAGTTCAGCCAGAAGATAAACTTTTCATGTATGAGAGCACTGGATTTTCGTTTTTTCTTCTTCTATTTTTTCTTGTGGCTCCTACTCCATCACGGTGCAAGGCATCAATGTTGCGCCTCATTGTTCTTCCGAGTGAGATGGAAAGGTGCGGGCTGCGTTGTCCTGACTGAGAGACCATCTATTTTCGTAAACACCGAAAACCCAATCTCACAGACGACGCATCGTTACATTTCAACCAGCATGCGCCACACTGCGGCGAGACGGTTTGGACAACGCCAGTATCCTAACGAGCCAATGGGACTGAAGAAGCAAAAGCCGATGAACGGAGCCAAGAATTATACGGTTGTACGAAATGATCCGAGAAAACCGGGGAAGGTCATGCAAAAAGGTGACCGGTCGTGTTGATGCGCGGGCATCGTATGATGCTGTGACGAAGGTCCCGCGCTGACAGTGGCATATCCTCTTTTCAAAACGGCCCTCTTGTCGAGGTTTTCCGGGCGACTCTCGCGAATTCTCTGTCAGGCATTGTTCCATCGCTGATTGCAGATGCTCATATCAGGCCTCTCATCGCCGCAAGAGGGCCGCAGTGGTTCATAATACCAGGTATCGTAGCAGCATTGCGGGGTTGATTGTGTTCAAATCTTACAGCGGGGTTCTTACTGCAAAGTCCACTGTTAGCCGTAGCACGAACCCACAGATTGGGGTAGAATTGGGGATGGAGAGAAAAAGCTGCTCAGGAGCCTGGAAGGTGGAAGTGGGCATGAGAAACTATCCTTCATTCAAGAGGCGGGAGACAACTAGGCGAGTGGGCTAATGTCAGTTGATCAGCCACTCGAGATGCCCAGCAGCTTGCGTGTAATCATGTTTGCAGGTTGATGGGCGACCAACAGAAGCAAGCAAGGTTTTGCCCTGCATGGCCCTGTAAGCCCAGGCCCCCCACAGTCAAGTGCCTGCTTCCGAGAACCACGTTGCACAGCAGCCCGAGAGCTGCTGGTGTCGTCACAGGGGAATTTGAACGAAGATGGATGCTGGCGAGGCTAGGCACCAAAGCTAGACCTGGGGTACAGCTCCGGTATGACCTTAACATGACATGCACGTCAATTCATTCTCCACCTCGGCGTGTCCAGAGAACTTGGGACAGTCTTGACTGGTAGTTGGCCTGCCCGGTCGGTAAGAAGCTCTCTCGGACGACCCGCAGATCAGGCGCGGGGCCGGAGTCATGATGCTGCTTGTCGTATTTTGCGATATCGTATGCTCGAGGAGCATCCGATGCCGGTGCCGCCACGCATGCCCTGACATACTCGTGTGGTGGTCATCAATCTGGTCTGGATAAGAGATGGTGGGCTCGAGAGTGCTGCCAGCAGCCGCATTGCGCCGTCCAGGTTAGATTGAGCATGGCACAGATTGAGATGGGTGTGAAGGATCCGAGCAGTAGTCACCGACCGCCTGGTTCTCATAGAGTCGCATCCTCGAGATGGTGGGTGGACGATGAAAGACGGGCCAGTAGGGACTGCTTCCAGGACGTTTCCACCATCCCCCGCGGCTGTAAGGATCGAGTAGCATTGCATCCAAAAGAGACTGCATGCTCACCGACAATTCCATTGTGGGTGACCGAGGGCGTTCATGTTGAAATAAAGAAAGGGTGGTGCTTTGACTGGCATGGTGACAATATTAGGGCAGTGATGCCATTGGGGGAACGAGTCCGGCAGGGTGCGTCGGATGTAAGGTTGGGTATCCGATACACCGCATGTTGAATGCAAGGTCGTGAGACAAGCGGGGAGATTTGGAATCGAGTAATGCTCGCTTGGTAGGACATGATGCTTGAGAAATTTCAAGGTGTTCGTGGCTGGAGTTGAAGCTCACGACGGATGGAGAAGAATTTGGCATGAGGCAGGATGGGAAACACCCAGATGCACAGTGAAGGGTACGCTACGCTGTGGCGGGCACTAAGGCAAGCTGGCGGGGCCGTTGCAAGTGGTGACACCGACGCATCTAATGGAGGGGAAGAGAGGGGGAGGCAGCTTCCATGTCTCATAGTAGAGCTGAGAACGGCGAAGAAACGGTTTGAAGTTCCCCAATGGGAGTTCCAACCTTCAAAACCATGCTTAGCCTGGCACATCTGGAAGGAGCTGGGTATGTTAACGATGCATGTATCTTGAGCAGCCCCAAACGGCAAGACACTAACGGCTGTAGTTTGGGGAACCGTTAGGCCAGGGGCCACGCTGTGCAACCGTGGCTTCGGGCTTAGAGCCCAACGGCATGATGGCAGGATGGATGGACTTTCCTCCATTGCTCTAGTCCTTCCCGCCTGCCTGTATTACCTTCTCGTATCGTTTCCCAGCTCAAGGAATTGACCAAATATCGTTGGTAGGAAGTAGTCTGACCTCAGTGTGACCTCGCTTGGTGTTCAGTATCAATTCTGTTTAAGCTGAAGTGGGGGGCTTTCCATGCCACCCCGCCGTTCACGGCCGGCCCCTCTTTTACCGGTACCCGTCCGTGGCGGTACCCCGGTACGTATCTTGCCCGGTAGTAGCTACATCACCGGCCGGGCGAGGAGCTCCTCCCCTATAATCATGTCCTGGCCTGGTACTTTCTTCTGCTATGGTTCTGTTCCGGCGGCG